CTGCTCGTTTGTGGCGAGAGTCGGATGAACTCGGTAATGCGTGATGGTCAGAATATAGATTAGTTTTTTTTTTTGGTTTTGTTTTTTTGGGTGTAGTAGGTTGTTCTGACCAGGTTGTTCTAGTGATGCTGAGGCAGCTGATGTTGGTTCTGCTGATCGTTTCCTGGAGTGTGGTTTGGTGGTAGTGTTAGGTTGTTGTTGTTGGTCGGTTGTTGTTGTTGTTGTTGTTGGTAGTTCCATTCCCTTTTGATATTATTAGTATTATTTCTTTTTTTTTTTTTGTTTGGTTGCTAATAATTATTATTAGATGCCAGTTGTGAGCTGTGAAGTTGCTGTGAGTTGAGTTGGGTTGCAAGAAGTGATTATATTATTTTTTTTTTGGAGTCGATCGACTGAAATCGGAAATTGAGTTGAACCTAACTTTGGCTTACGTAATCAGAACCAACTCATCAGTCCAAGAAGATTATGTAGACTGAGTTACATACACTGAACTGATCAGCATCTTGAACAGCAGAATTCTCAACATCCATCGGAAGGAAAAACATCTTCCATTTTGCATTTCCATGCCATCAAAATCTCAAACAAGAACTATCCTCAGTGGAGCAACCTCATCTATCATGCTTGGCAGGATCTCTTGTCTGCAATCAAAACCCCCATTCCTCTCTGAAATCCCTCCACCAATATTAATCATTCATTCATTCTTCATCTCCATAATTCATGGGCTACTAGTAGATGTTCCTTGTGATTGATTTGGTCCACATCCCATCTATTATTTTATGTAGCTCTTCCTCTTACTTGTGGTTCATCTATTCTTATCCTTCTTTGGGGGCAACTTTCTGCATCAAAACAGTCCACAATCTCTGTTATCTTGATATCTCAAGGGACTCAGTTAGTCACATATTATATTCGAGAATCACTTCATAAGCATCATGCGGATCATCCATCAGCTTATGGAAGTACTATATTCTAATTATGAGCTTCCAAGGCCAGTAAAACATCTAAAACAAAATGTGGATAGCCAGTAAAACATCTAAAACAAAATGTGGATACAGATGATTGAAAGAGGACATTCACTCTTTTGGGGGGAGAATTCTGGAATAAACAAAAAAATAAAGAGAGAGAGAAGAGGAAGTGGACTGAAACCAGCTACATAAACCTACAGTTCAAGGCCTTTTATAACTGTGGACCAGACCCATCATCACCAAATTCACCAAAAAAAATGGAATGGATGCATATCAAAAATCATCTCACTTTATGTAACCGAAAATCAAGCAAATTAGACTCTCATGCAGAAAAAGCTATGTAGACTGATGATCCCCCATAGGTTTTCCAGCAAGCTTTAGCTGGATAGATTAGCTTCCCATCAACCAACACTTGGCCTCTCCAACCCAAGAACAGAAAATGCATTTTGATCTATATTGGGCATGTTTACATATCTGGGCACTAAACACAACTTGAACTCGAACCAAGTATTCAAGTAAAAACATACATATCAAGACCCCCTTTTTGTCCTCCACAAGTTCTTGGATTCGAGATCACAACACAAAGAGAAAAGAAGAGGATATTTTGATTGCCCAGTTAGTTGCTCATACATATATATATATATATATATATTATATCAGAATCATTTTTGGCCTAGATGGGGACATGATCCCAAGGGAATGAATTGAAGAGACCAAAACAAAAAGAAGCTCTTGTTTTGTCGCTGTTTTCATTAACCATGAGAGTGACAGCTTGATGGGGTGACCTCATAAGACATGCATTTGTCGGTTCACTTATCTGGTCTTCACCTTTGATGTTTGCCACCACTTTTGATACGCTTAATAGCCCACTAGTATGTTATTGATTTGTGGGGACGTTTCTTGGGCTTTTGTGCATTTGACAATCTGTTGATTCAAGTGGAGTGTTCCCTCTGTTCTCATTAGAGAATCATGAGTAAGAAAAGTAAGGGAGAGTTGAAGGACCGGTTGATTGATTAAAAAAAGGGAGCATAATATAAAACCATCCAAATGGTTTGCAATCAATCAATGAACTGCAACTTCTCGTACTCATGGGGAAGATGATCATGGTACCAGGTGGTGACGAAGCGGGCGGCGTAGGTTTTGAGGCTCCGAACGGAGTGTTTTCTGGAGAGGAAGTCGACCAGTCTGAGTTGGGCGGGGGAGAAGAGCGGGACGGAATCCGCTGCGCGTTCTTCCCACGGGGCCCGATGAGGATGAGCAAGCCTGATGGAGCCGAAGAGCGGGAGAGAGTAGGGATGATTATTATGGAGGAGGAGGGCGATGAGCCAGTGGTAGAAGGCCTTCCTCCCTGGTGTTCCAGGCTTGAGTGCGGATGTCGAGACGGTTGTAGACCTCCTGATGCAGGTAGTTGGTCGCCCGGAGCAAGCGCTTGAACGAGTTGCGGATCTGCCGGCTCGGCACCGGCACGTTCTTCTGATCCACGGCCACCCGGATGTGGCCCATCCCGGGGCTCCTTGTCCAGGAAATACATGATCACCGACAGTCGAGGATGGTTGCTTTGATACAGATTCGTCATCTCCTCTCGCGGACACGCTTTCTCGAACTCGCCAATACTCGCTCGCAGAGTGGGGTCATCCCCCGTAAAGTTGTTCCTCGAGCGGAATAACATGCTGTACTTCTTGCTGCTCTTCTCGGTCATCGTGTATAAGATTCGCTCCCTGGCTTCAAAATACGGATCGGTAGGAAGATCAGTTGAGTGCCCGAAAGGCCGAGTTGGCGGTAAGTAGTTGACTGATCGCGCAGATGAAAAATGTCAGTTAATTCGAATATTATCGGTCAGTCGAACTGACTGAATTCGATCAAATCGCGCGAAAGTGAGAACGAAGAAGCTTACAGCCATCTTCAGCCATGAATAGCTTTATCAAATCATACGCCGTGGAGATGAGCAGCTGAGGCTCGATCAAGACTTGTCCGAAGTAATGGATCAAGAGCAACTTAGCCTGGCCGAGCTCGTCGCCTTTCCTCCAAGTGGAGTCGATGTTTTTCCTGATCCCTATCAACGGTGCGCCGTGTTGGTCGCTGAAGATGAGCGCATGGAGCCACTCCAGCAGTTTTTCCTGGCGCGAATAATGGACGAAGGAGGAGATGTGGCCGGGCTTGTTGAGGATGATCTCGTGGAGCTTGTGGATCGTTTTCAGGAGAGCCTTGGCAAGCTTGATCAACCCATTGCTTCCTTGCATCACCCGCCCGCCATGGCATAGGATTCGGTAGGTAAACCCCGTCGGTCCTCCTGACTTCGATCGACTCACCATCACAAAGGAGAGGTCGCGTTGGGTCTCGATTTGTGGTGATACTGGCTGGTCGTCGAATTCGATCGATAGGACCTCATGCACAAACTTTCTGTGGTATCTCTTGAGAAGTAATGTCCAAATGTTTCCGTTTTCAGTGAAAAGGCTGAGATGGTTCGGAGAGGAAAGCAGCTGCTGAATCGTGGCTGCCTTTTCCTGGGCCTCGCGTTGAGCTGAATCACTGCTGATGCTGGCCAATGGCTGCCTGACTGGCGTTCCTTTGGACGCCTGACTGGATCCAGCTTGGTCGTGCTCACTGCCACTATTCGTTATTATTTGCCGCATCTCGTTCATCAAATTCTCAATGGCGATGGGTGTTTGACTGTCTGGATGGTCCTGATCATGGACCTCATTGGGTGCTAAGAGATGCGAGCTGATTGCTTCGAGAGTGTCTATAAATGAAATGTTTGATGATCAGGTCCCAAAATTCTTTAAGAGAAAGGATGCGGCACAAGAATACTGACGAAAAGTTCTGGTTGCGAGAGCTGGAGTGGCTGATGAGGGAGATGAAGGACTTGGAGTGGGATTGGAAACGGATGTCGAGAGTTTCCAACTTGGAAGTGAGGGAGAGCCATGCTGGAAGAAAGATGAAGTTGTTGTTGTTGTTGTTGTTGAGGAAGGCACGAAGGAGGGAGCAGGAGGTAGTTTTGCCTTTGCTCGGCGCAGAGAGAGAGCGGTAGATTGAGATAACTGGGCGGGTGGGAGTGAGAGCTGAAGATGAGAAGTCGAAAAGCTAGCCAGGAGCTGGTGTGCGGGAATCCAGGCTGCCTCGGACTCGGAGTCGCAATCGTACTCGTGGTCCCACCAAGACGAGCTCAAGGGATGGGATCTCAGTGGGTCCGGATCAGCTGCCCAAACCAGTGCACAACACCATGAGAAGGTAAGAAACAGAGGACGATGCATCTGAAGGATATCAGACTCCGGGAGTCATGGGCCGCTGGGATTGGCTGGCCGGCTCAACTCGACATAAATATATTTAGTTACTTAGCTTTTCAAGCTTGTGGGTCGGCTCTGGACAAGAAACAACATACATTGGCGGGCCCGAAGATCTCATCTGTTTCAAGAAGAAATGAAGGTTAATAAGATGCAGTTCCAGAGTAGGAGACCCGGACAAGGTTCAAGTACATAAATATGTACATCTGGTAAGAGACCGCTTAACTCGAGTACATACTGATGGTCAACCGGCCCGAAGGGATTATTGGGAGACTGATGAGTGAAAATGTTCCTTTGGGTGCTTAAATATGTATTGTGCTCACCCTCAAGATTGTCACCCTCTCTTCCATATAAGATTTCTCTAACAAAATATCATACCCCCCAGCATCAAAAGACATCCGCTTCGACTTTCACCCTTCTCATCTCAACTTCATCCACTTGAAAAAGCGTTCGCACTCCAAAAAGAAAAAAGAAACTAAAAAAAAAATGATACTTTTATATTATAAAACATGCACAAAGAAACAAAAAAAAAAAACCAACATTATTATCAACAAAAAAAAAAGGGGGGAAAGAAAGAAAGATGAGGAAGTGTGAAAGTAAAGAAGTTTGAGGTAGATCGAAAAAGAAGGGGTGAGGAATATAGGGAGACGCGGTGTGGATCTCAAGGCTGTATAGCTCTGTGAAAAAAGGGAGAGAGAGAGAGAGAGAGAGGGCAAGGAAAGCAGATCATGAGAAAAAAATATTAAACAACTATATATGTAGATATAAAGAAAACAAGGACATCAAAAAGTTTGCTTATAAAAGAAAGGGAGTAATATTAAGATGAAATGAAAGAGCCGATCCAATAAAATATTTATGTAAGAGAGAGAGGGGGGGGTTCAAAGGTTAGAGGTTTTCAGAAGGACGGCACGGGTCATCGGTCCCGAAGACAGAAGTAAGGTCGGTTCTCGAGGATTGATGGTGGAGTGGAGATCGAAGGGACGGGAGTTGGGAAGTGGCGAAGCCTTTGCCAGCCCCACCCTCAGGCCCTTTAGGTTGACGGATGATTTGGTGAGGGTTATTATTTGAGAGAGATGAGGATGAAAGTTGTTGCTGCTGTTGCTGCTGCTGTTGATGGTGATGATGATGATGATGATTAGGGATGATGGAGACCGAAGGGATTTCGTCAGGTTGTTGGAATGAGAATGGGCTCTGCTTAGAGCCGAGGTTCTCGCGGAGATTGATGTTCGATTTGCGGCCGAGTAGGTCGCGTGGACTAGGTTCGGGATAGAAGACGCCTGAGCTCATCTCTCGGACGCGCATGTCGGGCATCGACTTCTTCATCCGAAGCGCACTCGAATTGGTACCCAGACCACCGTCGTACCTGCCCTGACCGGCTCCCATCGCGCCCTGCTGGCCACTCGCCGCCCGGCCCATGTTCGCCGAACTGGCCACCCGACTGATCCGTGGCGCTCCTCCTGAGGCTAGCTTGGACACCACCACAAATCGCTCCTCACCCACGCCTTCCGAACGGTGCACCAGGCCAAGCTTCTTCGCGATCTGGTGTACGATCCGCCGCTGCGGTCCACTTAAGGACTTGGCGAACGCCAGCTCGTCCCGCAACTTGTCTTCCTTGAACACTACCACCCTGGAGTATAGCTCCAACGTCTGTGGATCATTCATGTCTAGCTCCTTCGACTGCTTCGACTCCAACGCCCCAGAGAGTGAGAAGTTTTCAAAGGCCTGCTGTGCACTCGAGAGCTCGTGGTTTGAGGACAGGAAGGGATGCTGGTTAGAGTTCGAATTCAAGACCGATTGTGAAGGTCGGTGTGGGATCGAAGAGGGCATGGGGGGATGGTTGTGCATGCCACCTAGTCCTCGATACTCGTCCTCATGACTGGTGTAGTTTCCAAAGGAGATATGGGTGGATGAAGAGGGCATGGCGGGTTGTGAATGGACGGAGTATTGGTCGAGCAGAGTCGATTCTTTCTGTAACTGCATCGATCGCATTCGCTTGATCGCTTTCTCCTTCTCGATTCGCTCCTTCTCCCCGGCTTGGAGCACTTTCTTATACTCAACACGTAACTTTCGTCCTGAAATGTCAAATCCATTGAGTCCGGCAACGGCTGCATCGGCCTCTGACGCCGATCGGAAGTTCGCAAACGCCAATCCACGAAACACGCCGTTGTCAAAGTGATAGTCTAAGACACCAATCCAAACCAGTCAGCGTGTTTCTTCATTTCTGAAATGATCGGAAGAGATTAACGCACTAAATGCATAAGGCAAAGGAATCATCAAATCCTCAATGATGGCTAAAAGCTGCTCGCGTCTGACGCTGAAAGGGACTGAGAGGAGTGACAAAAATTCAAGTCAGTAACAAGCACGACTGAGGTGAGGATGAGCATAATGAGGACTTGCTGTTCTTGATCACAATGGCGGTTGGGATGATGTCATCGTCCCCTTCGGGTGCCGGGCCACTCTGGTTGGTAGATGTGGTGTTCATGTTCATGCTACCGATGGCCTGTGTGAAGTTTTCATAGTAAAAAAAAATCGTGTATGTGTGAGTTTAAGATCTCTGGGCGAGTCGGAGGTGGGGAGAAGATGGACTGACGCTGGGGGCAGCGGAGCCGACGGATGAGAGATTGGTACCGGTACGACTGATTGGAGGCGGGCCGGTTGAGAACTGATTTCCGAAGATCGAGGCCGGGTCGAAGGAGGAGGCGTGTGGGTTAGGCATGTAGTTCGACTGGGAATGGGTTTGAGTGAGCGGACTGAAATCGGAATCGCTGGTGGATGAGATCGAGGGTGGCCTGAGTTCGTGAGTGGGTGGATTGAGTGCGTTGGGGAGCGGAGGCACCGGTTCGGATGAGCCGGGATTACTAGTATGAGCAACTGTGAAGCGTTGGGATTGTTTCTGTGCGGAGAGAGAGAGAGAGAGAGATGATCGGGGTTGGGTAGGAGTGAGAGAGAGAGATAGGAGGAAGGAGAGAGGTCAGTACGCTGGAAACAGACTGAATGGGCCTCAGATAGATGATCAGTACTATGATTAAGTAAAATTGTGTGTAGATGGACAGATACAAGCACAACACAGATCAGACAGTCAGGGGGGGGAAGAGAGGATCTCAGCGGAATTACGCGAATCTTGAGGAGAAAAAAAAAGACGACAGGTTTGGAGTCCAGAACAGGATCCACAGAGCTCAACCAACCAACACACGATCCAGGCAGAGCAGATGTGGTGGAGAGATGGACGTGCTGGGTGTGTGTCGGGGCGAGGTGAAGGATGGAGTAGAAATATAGCAAACAGCGCAGTCAAACGGACGCGTGTGTGGAGTGGTAAGACGGGCCGAAGGAACTCTGCAGGAGGATTTTCCAGGCGCGTATTGAGCAGGGAGAGGGCTTAGGATGGGAGGTAGGTAGAGACAAGGTTTGGTAGGAACAAGTCCCGAAATTCAAGGAGAAAGAGGGAATGGGGGGTCAAGTGAAGCAAGCTGTGTGTTTGAGTACCTTGATTTTTGATACTAACTATCACTCTGATCACGACTTGGACAGGTTTTTAGGAGCTCAACAAGCTCAGAAGATCAAGAAAGGATGGGGGAGGGGGGTGTTTTTTTTTGGTTTGGGAAGACGGCTTGAGGTAACACCGGGCAGAGAGTGTCGAAGGCAGACAGATCGATCGGGGAATAAAGAGCAGCCGAATCAGGCAAGACGCTCGCTCGGCTTGAGAGAAACCAACAAACCAATGGGTTGGTCGGGGATGAGGGAGCGGTCAATAAAGAGGAAGCAATCCGAAAAAGGATATAATATAGAGGCCAGTCGGTCAAGTCGAAGTGTGTATGTATAGGGGGGGAGGGGGAGACACGTCCGAAAGGGAACAGGAATATGAGGGTAGACAATCAGAGGATGTAAGGATGCTTGCTTGCTGGTTCAGTTGTTTATAAACCCAAATCCAACGGATGGCAATGGTCATTAGCAAGAGAGGGGCGTTAAGGGGATGATTTGGGTTTTGACAAGGATTGTTTTGGTTATTTTTGTGGTTGATGAGTTAGGTACCGATCGATCGATGAGGAAGAAGAAGAAGAAGAAGAAAGTAGCTAGTAATTGGCAGTGTGGATGAATATGGGACAGGAGGCGGAAAGAGGGAGAGAGAAAAGCAGACAAGGATGATGATGATGATGATAGGCTGGATTCAGGAGAGGGAGGGAAGTACTTTTCTGAGTGTGGTCATTGATTTCTCTCTTTTGATCGAAAGGTGGTGGTGGTCGTTGTCGTTGGTGGTATTGCTGTTGTTGTTCTGCTTGAGCTGCTGCTGTTCGATGGCTGGCTGTACTTGCTGCTGCTGTTGATGGGCCATCTGGGCGTTGCTGGTGTGGGTGGTGGGTGGGGGGTGGGTGTGGGTGGTGAGCAGTTTGTAGGCTCCCTTTTGTAGCCTGCTCTGGATCAGCGAAACTCTGCAAAAAAAACTCACACTCACACTCACACGCTTATACCCAACTGGGAACAATTTTCAACATCTCCAGCCCATTTCTGACTTTCATCCCATCGTCACAAACGCACACCTTAGATTAATCCACGTCCTGTATCCAACACACTAATCTATCAAAAATGAAAACACTTCCTTCTACCACATATTCCATACTGTATCGAGCTGGGAAAAGTCATATGTAGCAATCCACCTGTTCAAAAAACTATAGAACGTGCAACGAGCAAAAACAAAAGAAAGAAGAAATAGCCACTACATAAAATAACCAAAGATAAGCTAATAATAATACATTAAAAAAATGATCTATCTAAACCATAGCAGAACCAGACATAGTAACGAGCATCCATTGTCGGGATAACCATCCGGTCAAATGGGTCAATTCGACGAGTTTTCCCAAGGATTTCCATAATTCTTCAAGCGCAGGGGCAAAAGTTATCCAACACCACCTTCAAAGATGATTATGTTTCAACATCATGAAGTCCAATACGTCTACTTCATATCCAATCAAAAGCCCTCCCAACACGAGACATTCACTGCTCACCTGGATCAGATCTAGAGAGTCTGGCACATACTTTCCAATGATGGCCATATTAAATTTCTTGCAGCAAAGAACACAAGCATCTGGCCACCCGGATCAGCACTTAATTGGCACACCCTCAGCCCAACTCCACAGCTCCTGTGCCCTTGTTCCCTCTCCTAGCAGATCACCTCCCCCGCTTCCAAAGAAAAGTGCATATTAGAGGCATGTAAGGTGTATTCTTTTTGAAGATTCATTGGGATCTAGTCAAATATTCTCAATCTCTCCTGGACAACATGAGCCATTCAAATTTTGATATTGGAAACTCCATGACCATCATACACCAGCCCATCTAAATTTGATGCCAGGACTTGGTGCAGGATTTTGTTTTGTTTTGGTTATCATTAGTTTTAACGCTTTGTTCTTTTGGATCAGCTTTGGTTGGTAATTGTGCACTATAGATCATGGGACATGGGCTTGGTTGGCTGCAAAAAAATTATCTTCTCTCTGTTTGATATCTGTTTTCAGTTGAAATAATTTGCATGAATTAGGAAAGTCAATGATTTCATTTCTTTGAGAGATTTGTTTATGAGTTTATAGGTGGTATTCCATGGCAGGAAAGCATATACCTTGTGATTTGGAAGAAGTTTTTCTCTTAACCAACCCCTCAAAAAAAACATGAAAAGCTGTTGGAAATGAGATATACATGTTGTGTTTGATAATTACTATGTGGATATAGGATCCATGACAAAGAGCTTTCTTTTTTTTTGGTTGGACACAGAACTGTGTAAATTTGTAATTGGATCAGGAGAGATGCCCATAAATGATTTATCAGTGGAAGAAAATGTTGGGGTTGGAAGATGGATTGATGAGAGGTTGATAGGTGTCAATAATATTGTGGTTCCAAGAAAGCTTGGATCAATTCGCTTTTTGAATTTTTTGTAACCCTTTGAATTTGATATTGCTAATCCCATATTTTCATTTTCTCAGTCGGGTTTTATCTTGACAGATGTCAGATAAGACCCAGGGATAAAACCACCTCCGGAGCCATGTTGCTCCAGTAGATGCTCTTGGAGGAGAATTAAGAAAAAACGAGGTTCATATTTGGAACCGGAGCAGTTTGTAGGTCCTATGACCTGCTCACCTGGACCGCCGGTCACTCCCTTCTGCCCCATCGGTGATGCCGACCAAGTACTGGACCGTTGCATGAGCTGAGAAAGAAGTTGAAAGCCCTGGGAGCCCTGGGACACCTGAGGCACAAACATATTTGAAATTAATCAAGCAGAAAGGTAAATCCATAAGTTGCAAGGATTACAAAAAATCCAAAAAGCAAAATGATCCAAGCTTTCTTGCAAACACAATGAGTTGTTATTTAATTTGTTTTGAATGACATCAACAAAACAGATCCAGACATCTGGAGCTCTGTTCAGCCTCCAAATGGTTCAAAGAACATGATCACAATTAACTCAACCAGCCTCTTGAGAGGGACCATGCAGATTCCCAGGAAGAGTGTGCAAAGATGAGCCAAGAGTTATCACCTCTTGTCTTGATCTCTGCACCCTTGGTGACTACCCCCATTACCTTAGCCACTGGCGTTGGTGTGACTGTCTCAGTTAGCAACTTATAATTCACCCCGCCCATCATCTTTGCCAAAATCAGCATCTGGGAGGGAAGGAAGTAGCAACCTCTCCGGTATCTCATCAGCACCCTCTTATCCCTTGGCTTCATGATCACAATTGGCAGCTGTAACTCGTTCCATATCATAAACCCCGATCTCTAGTAAGCACCTCCAAAGGCTAACATGCCGGTTGGGCAATTAGGTTACTTGGGGTCACGTCGGAGTCGATTGGAGTCAAGGAGCAAAGACAGCACTGCATTTGTATCATGTTTGGGCTGCAGGTTACCGTCTCTCAAGTTTTGATGTGCACACAGGAGCAACCTGCGACTGACTGACAGTCCCATATCTATGAAAGACCAGAATGTCGTGAGGAGCTGAGATCGAGATGATGGAGAGAGCAGCGAGACAGAAAAGAAAAGACAAGCACCTATGAAAGACCAGAATGTCGTGAGGAGCTGAGATCGAGATGATGGAGAGAGCAGCGAGACAGAAAAGAAAAGACAAGCACCTGCGGATGGTGCGGGCGGACAAATAGACAGACAAATGAGTGAGGTGCATTGCATGACAAGAAAGAAAAAGAAGATGAAAGAAAAGAGAAGAATCTAGGCAAACCTATGAAAGACCAGAATGTCGTGAGGAGCTGAGATCGAGATGATGGAGAGAGCAGCGAGACAGAAAAGAAAAGACAAGCACCTGCGGATGGTGCGGGCGGACAAATAGACAGACAAATGAGTGAGGAAAAGAGAAAAGGAAATACAAGCTCGGAACTAAGAAGAAACTATATACAACGGATGGTGAAACCTAAGTTGAGTATAGACAAGATTCCGCAGCATTTCCTCCTCACTAAACCCCTTGCTGTCGTCCGCAGTGTTTGCCGTCCTGCTTCATCTTCACAATATCTTATACAGCCTTGCAAAAAATACATTCCTTCTAATATCCTGAAGTAATCCCACAACCGAAATTCAACCATAGCAGATTGATTGACTAGCATATATCCTCAAGATCGGCAAAGAGTTACCCGATAATCACCATCGCTTTCCAAGACTTCTATCATTTACCGAGACCGCTGTGATTAGAAAGATCAGTGTCATCTATCATTCGTTCTTATAATAACTTGACGATGTGGGCCATCAAGTTTTTCTCGATTTTAATCCTGATCATGCTTCAGGGTCAAGCTGTATATACCCACCCACGGAAAAGCAGCACCAGCCAGCGTAGCAAAGACTCCACGAGTTCCGACAATAAGCCCTTTTCATGCCCCGTTGCCGACAGGGCTATATGCGTCTTTTTAGGCACAACTGGTGAGTGATTACGCGCTTCCAGGTCCAAAATAGACTCCACCAAAACCCGACTCTTAACCTTTTTCATGTCTCCATCCAATGATGTCTGTCTTTTCTAGGTACATCTGGTGAGTCCTTTTTCTTATGAATTGATATCAAACTATAGGCACAAGTTTCGTGGGAAGAATCCAAGCTCTTTTTTTTGGCTTGGATGATTATTGATTTTTTTGAGTGTTATTTTGTCTGCATGCCATGTAGTTCAACTAGCAAGAAAGAATGGACTCCAGTATTCATGCGACAATGTGCCCAGAAAGTGCTGCTCTGATGCGCTCAAATTTGATGTAAGTATTTTTTGAAAATTGGATTTGAATCTCTCCGATGCCATGAGATTATCAGAAGCTAATTTCATCACCTGATTTGTTAGGAGGAAAAGGCAAAATACCCTGGCGTTACACCGGTCCTTCAGGGTGAAGTTACCAATCTGAATATTTGCAAGGAGGGAATTTGAGGGTCATAACAATTCATTTCATCAATCATTTTTCTGGTTGTAAACATGATCATTTGGACAAGTAGTATGAGAGCCTTGTTTCTTCCACACATCTAGCCTGCTACCATTTTCTTTTCTTCCTTTTTTTCAGTTAGTTGAATACTTGAAATTTCTATGTACTCATCCGAATCCCATCTGCATCCAGAAAGATTATCAGCTTGTAAAATTCATACCAGACACTTGCTTTCGCAACACTCTTTGACACCTTTCGAGCTTTTGTAAAAAGACCTTCCTTCTACTGGTCCACCTGTATGAAACACTTATCAAAAAAATTGGACTTTGATTGCATCAGGAAGAAAGCTTATTCCAGACTTCCTACACCCAGCCCAGATAAAGCCCCTCGAACGCGGGTGTTCCTCCGCGCAGGCTGCTCTTCGTAGCGTGGGCGATGCGACAGGCATTGTGTCGTGGAGGACGGGAGAGAAACGACATGAGCTTCATGTTTTGCGTCAAGATACAAGCGCAGTCGGATGGCAGCGAGCCGAAATGGTGTCTACATACTACTGATGGGTGACAGAGCTCTGAGTGAACTTTGTTTTCAAGTTATAACCTTTTGAACACCCTGATGATGGGTGGTGCCCCACTCCACCTTCACCAAGCGCTTGAAGGTCATGTGGGTCATTGTATATAACATGCACAGGTCTCACTTCATTTGATGTATTGGTTCAAATTCGTTTATTCTTGAAACAGAAAGCAAGTAAAATATTTGGACTTTCCAAAAATCGCGATGTTTCTTGATCAGAAGGACGGTCAGCTGTAAACAAAAGTAACCAAGTGTGAGCCAATCCATGCCAATCCCTGGATCGAAGAAAAGATATCATTCTGATGCATCTTCCCACCATCTCTCTGAAGTCTCGCTCTCTATATTTCTTTACCTTGTGGTCTGTGGCGCTAGTGTTTGCTGCCGATCCACAGATGCTGAACTCCTATTCGTTGGCCTCGTCTTGGTGGGATCACGAATACGATTGCGAAGCGCCGTGGATTCCGGCCCAGAAGCTCTTGGCCAGTTTCTCGACCAATCATCTACCGCTGTCAGTCTCACGGGACCAGCTATCGGAATGTACAAGGGCTTCTCTGCAGCGAGCAAAGGCAAAATTACCAGTTGGGCCATTCTTGGTTCCTGCCCCGACGAATTCAAAGTTTCACAATGGCTCACCAGTTTCGCACCCAGTCACAGTTTCGACATCCTTTTCCACTCCGACCCCAAGCACTCCACCTCACCCAGACACTCTAGGTCTCACAGCAAGCGCTTCTTGTTAGTATTCCTTCACCACATTCTTCGCCACGAATTCAGTACCTGATTGCCGTGGATGTTACTTAGACACTCCAGAAGCAATCCGCTCGCATTTGCTCGGACCGGATGAAGTAAATCAGAACCATCCAGACACTCAACTCACAATCGCCATGGAGAATTTTATGAATGAAATGCGACAACTTATCAGAAACAGTGACAGTGAGCACAATCAAGGATCCACACAAGAAACGCCAGTCAATCAGCAATTCGACATCCTCAGAATTGGGTCATCTGAACGCGAAGAGGATCAAAAGTCAGCCGTAATTCAGCAGCTGTTTTCTTATTGGGATGATCACGGCTTTTGGGCAGAAAGTGCAAACCTTAAGAATTCACTTCTGAAGGGATATCACCAAAAATTCACTGATTATGCCTTCTCGAACGAATTCTCGGGCAAACCTACTTCAGAAAAATTTCCGACCGAAGCCAATGTAGCTTTTGTAATGGTCCATCGAATGAATCCTTCTAAGAACCCCGGTTTCGTCTATAAAATCCTAGGTGATCGTGGTCGACTGGTACAATCAGCGAATTCCTTGGTCGCGCTTGATAAGCATCTGCTGAGAACACTCCATAAGCTTCACGAAATCTTGTTGAACGCGTTGGATGCCTCAACATTCGTGCATTATTCACAGCAAAAAAAACTGTTCGATTGGCTGGATCGAGAGATTTTTACGCCTACCCATGGTCCTCCGCTCATAGGGATCAGGAATTCATTGGATGTCAAGTGGAGGGAACAAGATAAGATTGGGTCTGCTAAGTCATCCTTAATCCGTTACTTTGGCCAAGAAAAAGTTGAGAAACAACTTCTAGCCTCCACGGCCTACGACCTGATAGAAAAATTCGGTGCTGAAAATGAGTGTACGTTTTTTTTTCCCTTCCTCTTGGTGTTTTCAGTTTTGCCTTTCAAGTTGGTTCCTGACAGAAGAAAACTTGGCGTAATCAATGTATAATTCGTATCAGTCGATTATTCAACAGCAACTCATCCTTTCCACTTCGACCGCTCGATTCGTATTCATACAACTCCACATTTTGAGGAAACAATGCGGGCTCTAGTGGAGATGACGAAGGAGGTGACCAAAAAATACATTCTTCTGTTCCCCGTCAAATCTAAGGCTAATTTGCCTGGTGATGACAAAATTCTACGGGAATGTATTGCAGCATCTCAAATAGACTGCCACCTACCAGACATGGCAAACCTTTATCTAAGTAAACATCCAAAATTACCGGTCATCATGTATTTCCAAGAGGACCAGCCACTTTCTGGACACCTACGAGTGGCCGAACAGGGCCATAAACAACTCCGAATGTCAAAATTCAAACTGTTGTTCAAAAAACTACTCAAAGCGGCCAACATCCTCCATGCTGAAATCTTGAAATTAGGAACACCGGAAGAAGTCTGGGATGAGAGAAGAGTGGAGTTGTTCCAATGGCTGAACGCACTTGCGGTGGAAGCACCAAATCTCCTCCCAATAATTGGATCAGTCACAATCAAAAACAAGCGCCTGGCACCTTGGGAAGATATTAGCTACGATGGGATCGAGCTATACACTCCGGCTCAGGTGAAGATACTCGAATACCTATCAAAATCTCAAAGCGTTCAAAGTCTGCAAGAAGATTCTGCTTATTTCTTGACCGCTTGGTATCAAGAAAAATATCCGAATGAATACGAGAATTTGGTTTCCAAAATTGATCAAAAATTGGTAAGGTATCATGATCATCTTCATTGATTGAGCTGCATTTGAACCCTATGTCTACCTATTATTTTTGGAGGACAATTAATGAAATTGGACCAATAATAATAACAAATTTCAGTCATATAGCAGGCCAACATATCAACCTCTCTGATGATAAATCCAATTCAACTCAGATTTGATTGCTGCACTCTAACACCCACACCAACGAAAAATGACCCAAATTCATAATAGTTTTGATGTGTTTGGGTACACCCAAAAAATGAGTGCAATTCTTCACACCAAAAAGAATTATTATATCACCTGTCTCAGTTGGATTCTCTACTCCTAAGCCCTATAAATTTGTAATTTTAATGTGGCTTGTACACAAAAAAAACTTGTGAAGTTGGTTTGAAAAAGCTCCCTTGGGACCAAGTTAAATTGGTTTTTCTGTGGTATGCAAGATTGATTGCAGTTACCTAAACAGTTGATGGAAAAGAGGTCACACTATGGTTGTTGTACACAACATAGTGAAAAGGGGTCACACTATTGTTGCAGATTTACAAGATAGTGGAAGATAACCTCATTCTTGCACTATTAGCACTAGAAGGGCTGGTTCTCATTAGTATAAGGGACAACAATGGAAGAAATTCACTGTGCCAGGCTTAAGAGAAATAGAGAAATGAGATAGCAGTATTTTAAATTACTAAGATTAACTTTATAGACCAGTTCAACTAAATTAAAGAAGATGGCTGTAAGATAGTAATGTGATAGATTACATAAACCCCACTCACCTATTGTACTGATGTACATGTGTAAGGTTGGCGGGTTTGTATGGTAACCTCTGGGGGATGAATCTTAGGGAAAGAGTTTTTTTGGAAAATAATCCAGATTGTAAAATGAATCTTCACTTTGGTGTGAGCTAAGATTAACTGTATAGACCAGTACAAATAAATTAAAGAAGATGACTGTAAGCTTAAAGATAGTAATGTGATAGATTACAAAAACCCCACTCACCTATTGTACTGATGCACATATGTAAGGTGGGCGGGTTTGTATGGTAACCTCTGGGGGATGAATCTTAGGGAAAGGGTTTTTGGAAAATAATCCAGATTGTCAAATGAATCTTGACTTTGGTGTGAGTTGTTGTAGTAAAACTTTATGTGTCAAACTTCTTTGCTGTACTCTGTCAAACACAATCCCTTAATCACTTTTCAACCAACATCCAAGATTAAAATTTGATTCTGAAAAACCAAATGTTGATCTGACTTGCAGGATTCAGGAAGAGCTAGGAAAAGACACAGGTGGAGCAACAGTGGTCCAGTTACACTAACTGTAGTGTTAGTGTGGTGTGACTTAGCAGAATTTCCCTAAACTTTAGCGTAGCATAGGGGAATTCTGCCACATCTACGCCAACACTATCTGCATAGGGCCCACTATGCTGCATTAATGTGCTGGTTAGCGGAAATTTGGCCCTGTAGCAAAAATTCACTACACTATGGGATTTGGGGGCAAAAAAAGTGTAGCGGCCCATTGTTGGGTGGAGGTACTTGGGAATGTTTCATTTGTTTGGCTCTAGAATTTCTTCATTTTTTTTGGCTGTTATTGACTCTTTCATTTTTATCAGGCTTGTTGAGCTTTATCAGTTTTTATTCCTTTTATAATCTTTCAAAAAAATCATTTTGAGTATACATATTAAGGATCAGAATTATAAGAAGGCACATTATCTCACTCACTTATCAATGTATTTCATTTCTTATTAATCTCATCTTGATCTCTCAATGATTGGTAATCCCTTTTTCTCTTTTTCTTTAGTTTTAACTACTACTAGAATCTAGATCGTGTGCTGCAATAAATCTATAAGATTTCAAATTACCACAAGAGTCATCCCCCTGATTATTGCAGAGCAGTGGTAAACCTGTTATTGGGACAGGTGCAGTCTAAATACTGTTAAATAATTTCTTTGGGGAAAAATGTCAAGATATTCAAAGCATGGCATATCTATATACATGTGATGAATATCTCTCTTATTTCAGAAAATACACAAGAGAGTTAAACAGGATAATAAGTATTCAAAAGAGAAATATACATACAGGATAATAAGTATTCACAAGAGAAATATACATACAGGATAATAATCACTTGGATAAACACATGAGATAACTATCCTTTTCAACTTGAGTGCAATTTTTAAGAGAGAGTTACATCAATAAGGCTCCGTTTGGCTGCCCAGAATACTATATCAATATTCAAAAATCCTGCAGATTATCATAAAGCCCAGAGTCTAGAGACCTGATGATGGTGACATTATGGGTTCACACTTCACCAAGAGAAAAAATGGCAACACCATCTTTTGATTTAGCCAGATCCTGTGATAAGCATGCAAATTGCAATTCTGGGCGGTTACATTGTGGACTATGAAGTTGAATGATAGTGTGACAGGTTTCCTGCTGCTCTTGTGACTGTTTTCCACAACCACTGTGTGATATGTTCCACCACCAGTGCATGTGTGATATGTTTTCTGCACCTTCTGAGAGTTGAAAAAAAACTTGATTGTTGAATTGTGGAGGGGCTATGAAAGCGTGTTTAATGATATGTAGAGTAAGGGTAAAGCTCAGAGATACCTTCCTGGGCTTTAAACTGTCCAACAACTGTTAACAAAACTGAAGCTTGATGAAAAACAGGTTTTATTACCGAAACTAGAACCAGAACTAAGAGTAAAAAAATGACAAAGAAAAATTAGAATGATAACAATCAAAAGAAAATAGGTAGAAGACAATAATGTTTTAAAGAGAAATATCAACCTACCACGATGAGAGTTGTTTTTTGACTCAGACAGAAAAGAAAGACTGAAGTAGACAAGATCAAACAGGCAAAAATAATAGACACTATAAAGAGAGAATAGAACAAAACAATGAGAAAGAAAAGGTTAATGTGTGAGCCTTTTTGAGAGAAATTTGCAAGGTCAGTTTCTCACCAAATTGGCAGAAGCCAAGTGAGCAGATTGAGAGAGAGAGTCGGCGCGAGAAGAACCGTTGATGGTTGAATTGAAGTTGAGAGGATTTGAAGTCGGCGTCGATGTGAGTGAGTGATGAGAGATATGATGGATAGGAGATAGAGAAAAAGAGAAAAGAAGAAACGGAGTCGGAAGGCGAAGTGGAAGGGAATTGTGGTGGTTTTTTTTGAGGTGAGAGAGTAGAGTCTGAGCAGTTGAAGACTGAGTTGAAAGAAGTGGTGATCGATTGTTGTTGGAGGAGATAGTTGTCGGAGTTGAAGCTGCTGAGGAGAAGAAAGGTCGAGTGTAAGAGACCGGCCGAGTTTTTATATTCGTTGATCAGATGTTCGAGAAGTGGTTGCTGCGGATTTGAGAAAGAGGCCGTTTGCGGAGTGATCCAGTGAGTGTTGGGTGGTCGAGTGAAGGAGGAGGTCGAGTGATGGTTAGAAGAAATAGGAATGTGAGAGAAAGAAAAGGAAAGGAAAAGATAGAAAAGGAGTCGAGGGGCAAGAGCGTGACAGGAGCGCGGAGAGCGGAGAGCGCTGAGATCTGAGAGCGCAGGTGGAATTCCAACAAAGCTTTCAGTTTTTTTTTGGAAGTCTATAGTGCTATTAGCAGATGAGAGGGCACATTTACAACATTAAAGACTGTTGACTGAAACACTCATTTTAGACTTCTCATCTGCCCCCCCCACACTGAAAATGGGGCTCTTCCCAAAAAAATCCTTACATTTTTTGTGTTTTGTTTCTTTCATTGGAATGCATGTTCTTGGAGTTTTTTTTTTTTATAGATTGAAATGAAGCTGGAGAAAGACTTCTTCCTGTGTTGATGTTAACAAGCTTGGATGGATATATTGCATTGGGTGATGAGACAGGAAAAGATACAATATGTTTAACCTTTCGAGCAGATGGAGAGTCTTGACAAGTGCACCATGGTAAGTAAGTACACTCCACCAGCGGACTGACCAGATGGTCTCCCTTCCTCATCCAGGCCATCGTCCTCACCACGCACCCTTACTAAACAGAAGCGATCATAGGGGTTTCCAAGAAGACCGCAGTATGTAGCCGCATTCACATATGAATAGACAGTCTGGATCGGGGGATACCATCTCACCCTCAGATCATCTTTCATTTGGTGTTTTTGCGCCCCAGCTACATAATCAAACTCGGAAGTCGGTCGATTCAAGTGGCGCATAGAGCGCCCAGGGCGTCTCTGGTGGCCGTGCTATACTCCTTCACGATGGCAAAGATGTCCTAGAGATATGAAGGAAGGAAAGAATGATGGGGAGAGCTGAGTAGTTAGTGATCAGGAAGAAGAAGAAGACCCGGATCGACGGATCTGACTTGCCTTGGCTTGGGGATGGTTGGCGTCGGCCAGGACCCGATAGAGGAACGACTCGGTGGTCGTGATCGTCCCTCCGGCCTCTCTGATCGACTGAACAAAAAAAAAAAAACAAATCTCGATGTGAGATGATATGTGGACCCTCCCGCTTTTTTTGGTGAGACGAAGTGTTGGACTTATTTACCTGGAACGCGAATGCGCGTTCCTCGGGGTTGCAGCTGCTGACGGCATCGGCCAAGACCTAGAAGAAACTGATCAGATGATTTTTTTTTGTTGAGGACGTAGAGTCAAGAGAAAGGAGGACGAACGTGGACATGGAATCCTTGGCGGAGTAAGTCCAAGGAGGTCTGCAAGACACAGATGTGCGCCTCGATCCCGAGAATGGCGACGTGTTTGCGGGGCTCGAGGCTGGCGATGTCCGCCCTGATTTCGGGGACTAGCATGCTGAACTGGCTCTTTGGTAGAGGCTTGCGTTCGGGTGGGAGGAGCTCGGTTAGGCCTTGGACGGTGCCCCCTAATGCTGTTTTAGAATGGATTAGTTGGCTGGCAGTGGCTGGTTGTTTGGGAAGGTTGTTTATGGATACCTTTTGGGTTTTGTTCGGTGGATAGGATGGGTAGACCTAATTTATTAGAGGCCTTCAACTGAGGATGTATGGATCAGTTTGATGCTGGTATGTGAGTATGGAAATTACAGTGTTTTGCTTGCGTACCATCTTTTCTGCCATCTTTTCTACATGTTCGAAATGAAAGATTTTGGTTCCTTCGTTTTTGATTTGTTCAAGGGAGGGTTCAGTCGTTATATTAGCTCATGGTTTTTTTTCTTTTTCTTATTCTAAGATGAGACTGACTGAATCTTTCTTGCTAGATGTACAGAGGATTGGAGTCAGTCAGACCAGTGTTTCTTCTTCTTCTTCTTGTGTTGATGGGCAGCTTCAGTTTGTCTTACCATGTCACATAGTAGGATGATAGCCTATAAGGTGTATTTAGTCAGTTGTTTGTGGATCATAAATTGCTGTGAGGTTATATAGTTGGCTTACGTTGATCAGCTTGAGTGGTTGTTGTTGGTTCATCTTAATAAGCAGTTCTTGGCATTAATTTGTTTTGTTTTATTTCACTCCGACCCTGAAAAGAGCCAGAGTCCAACCCTCAACTTCTTCTCAACACCTTCACAGCAAAAACAAAACCAAAACCAAAAACAACCAACCAACCAAAACCAAAACCAAGCAACTCACCCAATGAAAGACTCAACCTCAAGAAGAAGACTCAAGACAATCATCATCATCCTCACCATCACCATCACCATCACAACGACCACTGGACTAACAACAACAACAACAACAACAACAGCCAACACTATCAGCTTACCACTCTATCGAAGACGGACTCAGGAAGAAGGAGAAGGACCTCATAACAGACTGCAATTCCAAAGACTCAAACTCATCAGCAAATACAACTCACTCCCAATCCAAACCGACAAACAAACAACCAACAACAACAACAACAACAAACAACAGCAGGAACTCAGACTACTCCAGCCTCGTCAGATCTCATCATTACCACTACCATCCATCCCAGACTCATCACTCGCAAATAACAACAACAACAACTCAAACCTATCATCATCAACATCACCCATCCCACCACCATCAACAACAACAGCGAACAGTAATATCACCTATCGAGGCCAGAGCGATGGAAGTGGAGGAGTCATCGGGCTGCAAAAGATCCTCAACTTCCAAGCTGATCTGTGAGTAAAACAACTACTCTCTCAAAAAAAAAAAAAGAAAGAAAGACAAACTGATGAGGAAGATGTTTGGATATGATTCATGCAGGGAATATTTCAGCCCAATCTTCATCGGCACTCCGCCGCAACTCTTGAACGTGATTCTGGACACAGGCTCGTCGGATCTCTGGATCGCCTCGGCCAACTGCTCGGTCTCCTCGGGCTGTGCCGCCGGCTTGGGCCCCCGCTTCGACCCGCTCAACAGTTCCTCCTCTTCCACCTCTAATACTCCCTTCTCTATTAAATATGGCAGCGTACGTCTCTTGGCTTCACTTTACAAATAGTAGCTTCTTTTTTTATCTTAAAATTTGGTTCGTGTTCACGCTTGTAGGGCTCGGCTACAGGCAAAATGTACTCTGATAACATCACCTTTGCGGGTTACAAACTCCCCCCTCAAAGCTTCGGTAAATCAATCATCGGGGTGGTTTCCATTCAAGATACGAAAAGTGGATCTCTGATCTTGTACTCCTTCCTTTTTTTTGGCCATATTCTTCAGCTGTCGTCGATACCGTTTCATCAGAATTGTTGAGTAAGGATGTGTCAGGGTTAATGGGTAAGTCCACTTTCTTTATTCCCGCACAAGAAGAAGATTACGAATAGGAAGATGAAATGAGAGAAATGCTTTGTTGAACAGGTTTAGGATTCCAACCATTAGCGTCATCAGGCGTGACGCCGATCTGGCAGAGTCTGATGAACAACGGAAGCCAGAGCGGGGGGAATGTGAGCTTCCCGGGCTTCACGTTTAGTCTGACGCGATACATCAACACGACCCGGCCGGGAGAAGTGGAGCCGGGAGGGCTCTTCACTCTGGGCACCTTGAACAGCTCCCTGATCGCCCCGGGAGAGCCCATCAACTTCATATCCGTCCCCCAAAACCTGCAGTCCTATTGGCTCATCCCCCTCGACGGGCTCGACGTCAACGGCTTCCCGCTTAACCTCAACTCGCAATCCTCTCCCAACGTCGCTATCGATACTGGCACTACTCTTATCGGAGGCCCCGCTAATGAGGTCAAGCAGTTCTACAGTCAAGTCGTTGGATCCTCACCCGCTTCGGGCTCTTACCAAGGTATCAACTGTCGCTTTTGTTATCCCCCCCAAAAAAGCATACCATCCAACTGAGTTGTTCTTTTCTTCTTTTTAAGGATACTATTCATATCCTTGTAATTCTTCAGTCTTAGTCACTTTCAGATTCGGAGGCAAGAATTATTCGATGGCCCCAGATGATTTCAATCTCGGCCCCTTCGGGTCGAACGGACGCTGTTTAGGATCGGTCTTTGAACTCGAGCTTTCTGGTGCATCTAGGTCGTTGATCTCTTGGGTCATGTATGTCTACCCCCCCCCCCCCCCCCTGTCCCCCCTTTTTTTCTTGGCTGTTTTGAGAAGATAATTGATTAGTCTATGTGTGGGCTTGGATCGGTTTGGCTTGATTTAGTGGGGACTCGTTTCTGAAAAAGTTGAGTTTCGAGAATCCAACAGTTCCATTTCCAACATATGATCATCCCCCAAGGAAGAGAAGAGACTAACTTCAAGAGCATGTATTTACAAAAAAAAATGGATAGTGTTTTATCAGTATACAGATACGTTCCACCAGCGGTAGGGTTTGCGAAGCTATCGAGCAACTTCAACAGTACGGGCCCGAGTGGGGTGACTGTGGGCGGGCCACTATGGACCTCGGGGACGCTCCGGACGATCGAGTCGTCCTCGGGCTCCGCGAACGGCCAGAAGATCAACGCGACCGGCTTGGTCGCTGGCCTCCGAAACGGCATCAACGGCTCCATCGGCCCCGGCGACGGCAGCTCTAATCCGCGCAAATCTCATGCTCATCTGTTCCGCCCGCTTTCCACACATCTCTTCGCATCCGCCTGCGTCTCCCTCTTCCATCTTCTCTGGCTCTGAGCCTCCGCTCCTGTGCCTCTCCTGCTTTGTCTTTCCCCTCTCTCTCTCTTTCTCCCTCTCGAGATCTTGATGGACTCTTTTGCTTTCTTCTCTCTCTCTCTCTCTCCCTCTCTTCTCTATTTGGTCAAACGACAAACTATATCCTCACCTTATCGGCTTTGGTTACCCCACTCCTATTTCTTCATACTTCTCCTCCTCATCATCATCGTCTTACCTTTTTTCCCTTCTCTCCCCCCTCTCATCCTTCCCTATCTCTCTCTCTTTCTGGCCCACAAATGATTACTCGCTCGTCTTCTCTCTCTCTCTCCCTCCCAAAGACTCTCATCTTCACCCCTCCTTATTTACAACTTATGTTTATTACATGTTTATTCATATACTCTTATCTTATATCTTCTCTCTCTCTCTCTATCTTTGGTTTTGGTTTTTTTTAGCTCAGTTTTGTATATGTGGTTGTTATGCGACTTCCATCCACCCTTGCATCATCATTTTTCTTCTCATCATCCGCTCTTTTCTCTACCACCATAATCTCCATAATCCCCTCTTCTCCTCACTCTTTCATTTCTTTTTTCTGGCTTTATGAAGGAGTTGGTGGATGAGGTTTGAATGGAGTTCATGATCAGTTCTTGTAAAAAGAAAGACAATCATGCGGAGATTGATATACTGTAGATATCGCAGATAAATTGGTTGTAGAAAAGATAAAAACAATTATCAGATTCACATTGTAAAGTCAAGAATCTCTCTCTTCCTTTAGAGATAGGGTTCTTGATGATCTCTGGATTCTTCTCCTATAGAATAAGTAATAGAACACAGGGTTTGTTGATATATTTATTTATCAAGTACAGTCACCTACCTCAAACAATCTTAATGCCAACCTTCTAGCAGATCATGAACAGACAATAATGTCATTTTTTCTTTCTTTCAGAAAACAAATTGGAATCATTGGGAGTGCATTGTAATCCATCTTCTGGTGAGTAGACCAATCAGACTTGCAAGATGCTGTGTGTGTTTTGATTGGTGTGGATCTGGTTGCAATCATTCAGTTCTGATCAGGGAGGATAATGAGGTAGTCAGAGTAGAGGCAGATGTACCACATCTGGAAGGCTCTGGCAATTCAAACAATTCACGAACACCCTCAAGTTGTGGCTAATGGAGGACGGCCTTTTCAGATTGCATGCCAAGGAGATTTTTTTTTTTTTTTTTTTTAAAGTGAAATTTGGCCCGTTGCATTGCTCACGGGAGACAATCTGTGTTCTTATGAGCAAATAAATGTGTATGCCAGCTGGCCATGGTTGTGAGCTTGCTAATGTAACTTTAAATATGTATATGCAAAACAGACACTTATCTCAACCCCCCTCTGTCGGAACGGAAGAACTGTACAGATTGCAGATAAGAAGGGTCTAATCGGAGACAAAACAGCATGGGCCGGACGGGCAAAAACCGTCGGGGTTTTGATAGCGCCCCTGCCTGTATTCTCTAAACACATACCTTCACTGTTTTAGTCCGAAGTTCGGCGACGTGAAGCTGATAAGCCTGGTTACTACCACATTCGAATAACAAACCTTGCAAATTGCTCGATCGAACGCTACGATGGCCATCGAACCCTGCGTGGATGTCATCCTGGGGGCCCAATGGTCAGAACTCAATTCATCTTCTGTCTCTCCATCTCAGGCTGGGTTGTATACTGAAGAGAAAAATACCTGATCAACCAGGGGGGACGAAGGCAAAGGAAAACTCTGCGATATTCTTTCGGCTAAGGTGGATATTTGCGCCAGGTATGTACGAATAATGCTCCTCGTCAAATTTTTATCCTCAACAACTTTTGGCTTATTCGCAAAATCCGTATGGGGACTTTCCAGGAGTGCCGGCGGGAACAACGCGGGTCATACTATCGTCGTCGATCTTCCGCCAGGCCAAGGCATCAACGGGAAAGGCGGAAAAACAAAATACGACTTTCATCTTCTACCTAGTGGTAAGCCATCTAGTCCACCCTCACCGAGTGAGAAAAAAAAAACTGGACGAAGACAGCCGAGATGAACCATCGTTCAATGTTTATGCGTTTTCTAGGTTTGGTCAATCAGGATTGTATCGGCCTTATAGGCTCAGGAACGGTGGTCCACGTGCCCAGTTTTTTTGATGAACTAGCTTCTTTGGAATCTAAAGGTAGATATTTTCTACCCATGTTTCTGTTGAGAATGGAAAACGATTATTCTAATCTAATTATTGTTTCTGTTTTTCAAGGTCTGAAATGCTCTGATAGAGTCTTAATTTCGGACCGAGCGCATCTGGTGTTTGATTTCCATCAAATCGTCGATGGTCTGAAAGAGATCGAGCTCGGGGGCTCGTCGATTGGCACGACCAAAAAAGGCATAGGACCGGCGTACTCAACCAAGGCCTCTCGATCGGGCTTGCGAGTGCATCATCTGATGGGCGATTTCGCCAATTTTGAACAGAAGCTCCGATCGCTCGTCAATGGCCGACGCAAGCGGTACGGCGAGTTCGAGTTCGACATCGAGGCCGAGGTGGCGCGCTACCGTGGATATGCCGAGCGACTGAAGCCATTCGTAGTCGACGGGGTACTCTACCTCCACAATGCCCTGACATCGACGGACGCGCCCAAGCGGGTGCTCGTCGAGGGAGCCAATGCACTCATGCTCGACCTCGACTTCGGCACGTACCCCTACGTGACCTCTTCCTCAGCTTCGATCGGCGGTGTCCTTACCGGTCTCGGTCTGCCCCCACGCGCTATCTCAGAGATCTATGGGGTCGTCAAGGCTTACACCACCCGAGTCGGCAGCGGACCCTTCCCGACCGAACTCACCGGCAAATGGGGCGAACATCTCCAAGAGGCGGGCGCCGAGTGGGGTACGACCACCGGAAGGAGACGCCGTTGCGGTTGGCTCGACCTCATGGTCCTCCAGCACTCTCAGCGGATAAACGGTTATACCTCCTGGAATTTGACCAAGCTAGATGTGCTCGATGAGTTCGAAGAGATCCAGGTCGGTGTAGGTTACGAACTCGATGGAAAACCGATGGAGGCTTTCCCAGGTCAGTCACTCTCTTTCTCTTTTCCCCCCCCCCCTCTACCCACTGCAAAAGAGAAAGCAGTGGATCAATGATTGAACATAAAAAAAAATGCTTTTTCTTTTGTTTTCTACGCGTGAACAGCCGATCTGGATATCTTGGAGAAAGCAACGGTCAAATATATCACTCTGCCCGGATGGAAGCAATCGATCAAGGACATCAGGAAATACGAAGACTTGCCGAAGAACTGCATAGATTATATCTGCTTGATCGAGAAGTTAACGCAGATCAACGTCAAGTGGATCGGGGTCGGATCCAGTAGAGATGCCATGATCTTCAAACCTTGACCACTTTTAACCCTCCCCCCCCCCCCGTTTTCCTCTCTCTGTTTGTTCTTTTTTTTTCTATTAAATCCTGTCTTTCTTTTGTATCTTGACTTCTTCTCCGGATTCATTTCAAGTAAATACACTCTATAGGCATCCACAAAACAAACGGAATTTCACTTTTTGTGTAGAAAAACAAAAAACCAAAAAAACACAGCATAAATTGGCCCAACACTATGGATGAGGTGTCACTTTAGAGAATGGGGATCAATCGATGCATAGATGGCACGCGTTACTCTCAGGTTAATAGACCTGACCAGTCGCATGAAACTCGTAGAAAGATCTGCCGGTGCGGTTCTAGTCATGCCTGGAGAAAATCTAAGTTGTTTGCTTCTCAAGATCTCTGAAGAAAGGAAACTAAAAGAATTATTCCAAAATGGGTTCTTGACTCATATTCTTCAAGTGGTGGTCAAACATTAATGATCAACATATTACAGAGCTCTCAAACAGGTTTAGGAAACAGTGAAGTACAAAATTCATCCAAACTCTTCATGTCCTATTAGTATTATGAATCTGAGTTTTAGTTTACTCAATATACATAGGTTATCCGCAAGGTGGCATGACAATCCCTACAATTGAAAGTTGAGAAAATTTGTGACCTGAATGCTTCACTCGTCACTTGTCACATCAAAATTCATGTGGTTTGAACTTCTCTTCAGGAATTTGTATTAGAAAATGTGAAATAGGAGAAAATCTAGTTATTAAGTGGTATCAATTTTGCAATTTTTCAAAAACAATTACAGCTGTTCCCAAAAACCTTGCGGTTTCGGGAGGCCTGTATTTCAGAAGAAAAATTTTAGCGCCACCGATTTTTTACGCCTCACGGCCTGTATAGATTCCAGTACAGGCTCTGTTTTGGCTGCCGAGGCCTCGGTGTGGGTTCCGATGCCTGCCAGCTGCCAGGCAGGGGTTGGCAGAGCCCCCATGTGGTGAGCGGCCCCTGACCAAAAAATGGAGAGGATTACAATGATCCAACTCCCACACACTCAACTCGGAAAATGTGGGAGTTGGGTCCTGTGGCCTGAAGTACTGTGGCCATACAGGGCCATGTACAGGAGAGAGTGGCGCTAAAACAAAGAGGCAAAAAAACAAATTCTTCGGAAATACAGCCTTCCCAAAACCGCAAGGTTTTTGGGAACAGCTGTATAATTATCATGAGCTTGCCAATCTTTTAGATCGAAGACTCTTCTTTCGGTGGACGCGGCCAACGAAGTTGCCTTGATCGTCATACTTGACCAAAGAATAGCGACCTGCATGATCTAGTTTGGTCCCTAGAGACTTGGGCACTGATTATAAACGATATTTTGAAATATATTTGAAATTTTTCCAAAAGTATTTGAACTTCTTTTTCATTTCTTTTTCATTTCTTTTTTCTTTCAAAAACTCACTCAAAAACTTTCAAACCACCTCCGGAGGTGGTTTGAGATCTCAAAAACTTCATTTCTGAAAAGAATACAGGATTGTGGGCAGCATTTGACTGTATAGTATCAAAACATACAGGAGCCACTGCACACAGTCGCTAGCCTAACTAAGCCTCTCGAACGGAGGGGGGGACCCCGCGTCCCGAAGGGACTCTCCGTAGGAGAGGCTTATGAGGTAGGTCGGATTTGGCGCATGGGCGCTTCGCGTTATTGTGGCTTTTAGCAGCTATTTCTCATTGCACCCTCTATCCAAAGAGAACTAGCCAACATCTGATGAAGCCGTGAAGAAGGAGACTAGCCAGGTATGCTGCCTTGACATTGTTGTCCTCACAATCAGAGTAAAGTGAACGAGCTTGACTGGCCAAGGAATCTTAACCTGAGCTTGGTTGCTCTGAAGCTACATAGTATGTTCCGCCACTTTTATGCGTTTTTGAACCATCTGTGGTAGTATAGAAATATTACAGCTGCCTCGGGAATTTTTGGACGATTTAAGTATACAGGAGTATTCCAAGCCACATAATTATAACCAGACGACATAACAGTTGTGGACTCGAGAAGGGTGACACTTGAAGTCCCGCCTCTTATCCACAACAATTAAGGAAGAAGATCCTGAATCAAAATTCAACATGTTGCCGAGGGTTAAATCAAAGCAACCCGGTCCAATTTCGAATCGATTGTGGTCGGCCACCGGAGTCAACGTTTACAAGAAGGTTTTTGAAATGAGCGATGAAAATCTGAAGGCCCACATCGCCCACGTTGCTTATAAAAAATATGGTCAATTAGCAAAAGCCCAGCAGATCGAGGCGGTAGCCAACTTGGTCTCTGGTCGTAACACGTTTGTTCTTGCCGGCACCGGATTTGGCAAATCACGCATAGCCGAGATTTACTTTAGTATGCTACCTATGACAAGAAACTCGGTCATTCTCACCTTGAACCCCTTAGATTCTTTAGGCGACAATCAGGTCTTTGAAAAACGTGCGGCAGGATTCTCGGCAATCAACTTGAACAAGTTGAACTTCAACAAAAAAGTCGCCGATGACATATCTAAAGGCGTTTATCAATTCGTTTATTTAAGCCCGGAAATATTCCTCAATAATAAGCTATGGGAGGAAGTATATTTCAGCTCTGAGTTTCAAAACCGGCTTGGTTTGGTTGTGGTTGACGAGGCTCATATGGTGTACATATGGGGCCTTGTACAGAGTCGACCCGGAAGGCATCTAGCTACGATTTTAAGTCGCCTGGAGGACTTTGGGATCTTTCGACCATCATACGGGCATCTCGGTGGACATCTCCTATCTCGAAATGACAAGCCAATGTTGCTTTTGTCTGCTACGTGCCGGCCGGTGGCTGTGGAGGCCATCAAGAAAAGCTTAAAGCTTGAAGACTCAAACGTCGATATCATACGAGCCGAGCTAACTCGACCCGAAATCCGAATTGTTCGTATTCCAATGGAGGGCTCTATGGTTTCTTGCCACGACCTGATTAAAGTCTTCCCCTCGGTTAACGATGTGTCAAATGAAGACTTGGTACCTACTCTTGTCTACAGTGGCTCGCGAAATCGAACGTTGACGGCTTTGGAAGTCATTAGCATGGCTCGTGAGACTCCGGCTGAATCAATGAATCCTAGCAGCACATGCGCTCGGCGATATCACTCGTGCACCGGCGATCTAGACAAAAACGATTGTGTTGAGGATTTCGCAACTGGGAAGGTGCCGATTGTGTCGTGTACAATGGCCTTGGGATTGGGCCAGAACTGGAAGCGGGTGCGCATGGGAAGGGGAGATCCGGCTTCGGTGGTTCAGATGATCGGGAGATGTGGTCGAGATGGAAGACCCGGTTTAGCTATCCTTTTTGTTGAGAAAAATCGTCGCAACGGAAAAAATTCGGTGGACGAGTTTCACAACGATGCCATCCAGTCGGATGATGACCGGATGGATGCCCTTGCAGTTACCCCGGTGTGCTTGAGAGTTGCATTCTCCATTGACAACTTGTATGTTTATTTAGTTGTCTTACCTGATTCTCAGATGGTGATGATTGACAATGTAATCATTTTTCCGTTCTTACAGGCTAGGTTACATACCTCTTCAGGTAAATGACCCTAATGTACTGAATGAAAAGGCACGCGAGGAGAGAGAAGGCTTTGCTGCCTGCTGCTGTTCCAACTGCGACACACCGGCAGCAACTCAGCTCATGGCTAACTTGCCATTTGCTAGTGTGCACAATTTTGACGAGGTCTGGAGCAATCATTTCCAGACCTCAAAGGTTGCAGACCCGAAGTCTAAGCTCCCAGTCAAACGGACGACTTTCAGAAAGCGGAAGGTTCCTGAGGCGGAGAGGGGACTCATTGAGGCTTTTCAGGTGGAAATAGCCAAAGACTTTCCTGATTTTTACTACAGTCGGTTTCCAACTTCAGCTACCGTCCAGGCGGATGACTTGTTTGGGAAGACCGAGGCTGAAGCGATTGGGTCTTACATGCACCAAATTCAATCCACAGAAGATCTCCGCATTGTCATTGGAGGCGAATTTGTTGACGGCCAGTTAGCATGGATTATGGAACGAATAACTCTTTATAACAACCAGTTGACTCAAGGGACAAGGCTCACAAACCCAAGCAATGCAAAGAAGCCGAGGTTACAAGGGGTGCAAGTGAACAATCAAGAACAACCTCCTATTCAAGAAACCACATCAACTACGAAGAAGCTAACTAAAAAACAGGAGGAAGCCATCCTAAGAAGACGGGTTTCATTAGAGAAAGCAGCGGCAAGAAAGTTAGAAAAGGAACAAAAAGAAAAACGGAGACTCCAGATTGCGACTATTTTGGCGGAGGGGCGAGCGGAATATCCCTAGGCAATCAATCACAAGTCATCTGATTCGTTGCCTTCTTCGGTTGTTGATTCGTCATCCCCATCTGGATTATGCGCTTTGCCTTCGACTTTACTGCTCATGTGTTTTTTAAATCGCTTGAGCTGGGGATCCTTGCCTCGGATGATAGATTTAAACTTGTTGTTGCCATCTAAATATGTGTTTACTTTCTTTTTGATCTCCTTGCCGTTTGCAGTGGGCCATTGGTCCAAGATATCTCGGTTATTACCCATCAAAGTTAACATTTCAAGCGATCTAATGGTGATGAGGTTCGGACGTGATTGATGGATCACTTTTAATCCGCATTCAATCTTCAGAGAGTGTAACATCTCTTGGAGCTGAGTTAGAGGTGAGATAGAGTCTGGATCAGCATCTATCTGTGACAATGTTGAGGTTAAGGCATATGTGCAGAGGCTCAGCGTACCAGTAAGATGTTAGGGGAGAAGATATCCCTTAATCGGTTGATCTGTGTGCCGATACCACTCTTGTTGTGGAAATACTTGAGCCTGTAGTTCTGGATTTCTAACCAGAAATCCTTAGCCACAAAGTGATCAGGTCGACCAGTTGGAGTCACGAGGAGGTTGTGACGGAGATATTTGCTTAAAGATGGGTTCAGTCCCCCCGTGAGAAGCACAACCATTCGTGGGAGGTAAGACGAATAGTTTGTGATTTTCTTGATGGACTGTGCCATCACACTCCACTTCTTCCAAACTGTCATTAGACGGCCGACATCTCCTGCCTTCATTGACCTCTTGGCCTCAACCACTGACGAGAAATCGTGTAGCTGCACAAGCATGTTGTGGAGCTTAGGGCATTCCCGGGCATCCGCTTCTTTTCGAGCTCTTGCAGTGCAATAGCGGTTGTAGCACTCGTTGACAATTGCATTCCATTGAATCGTTGGGATGACCGTCTGTTCACCATTAACCTGTTTACGCTCAGTCTTCATGATCACACTGTGACCAAATAGATCGATATTAGAAATGAAAAATTGGATGATGTCAGACAGTCAGAAGGGACAAACCGTAGACAGTAATACAGCATAGACTCGAATATCTTTTCCATCTGATCAATCATCAGGGAGAAATCCTTCTTCTGGATGGCTTTCTCAGCTGGGAAACCCAAGGCCTGCAGATATTGCCAGGCCCCACAATCTTTTGAGTCATTCGTGTCACCAAAGTGATGGGTGAAGATAGCGGTGGCGATGTTCCATAGGGTATGTGCTGCCCCTAATTGGAATAACACATTATTGAGCTGGTCCTGAGGATACGCACTTGGAGCCCTCTGAGATCGTAAGCAGTTAAAATTCTGCACCGTCCCCAAGTCGCCATCCATTGGTTGGACGCGGCCAAAGAATTCTTCAACGGAGAGGCCAGACTGGGCCAAGATCAATTGGAATACTTGGCCAACCCCTTCGGCCGAGTTATCTGATGCATCCATCAGTTTAAGCATGTGAATCGAAGGCTTCTTTGCTTGAATCTGTTCAATAACCGGTGATGACATTGGGATTGCCGTTGCAGGGTTGCTAGGGATTGCAATATACTGATGTAGAACCCTAGCGATCTGAGCTTTCCAGACCTTGGCATCGTTATCTTCCTCGGCTGGAGTAGGCAGGAATATGCTTGGGTTGATGGTCATCGACTTGACCTTCTCAATTGAAGCATGGTAACTGGCCAGGCTCAAGTCGGACAGGACAAGGGTCCCAACCAACTCCTTGTTGGGCACATGTACATAACCCCATGTGCCACGAAACAGATGAGACCTGTGACCAACTGAGACATTATGAACTCGTTGTTCCATGTCAATATTATCGATGCAAATTGTTGGTGCAATGGGGATGTCATCGTTGAGCTTCATTGCTGCTTTAACATCTGATGCTGCCTCGCAAGCCAGAGACCTCAAGGCTGACAAGGCTGACCAACGTGACGCACTCAAGCCTATGTGATTAAGATACTCATGGACTCGTTCGGAAATGCCACATGCAGTCATACGTACGGCATTGTTCAACTGAAGAGAGTTGCATCGACGGTTGACCGCAAAAGCCATCATTGAGCAGACTGTCAAGACAATCTGTGGGCCAAACCAAAATCAGATGAGACCACAGATTGAATACATATGAAATCAGCTTACCCTACGGAAGTGCATGCTTCTAGCATCATGTCTATCAGCATTTGCCTCGTATCCAACATAGTCAACATCTATGTCTATGCCAGTCAGGCCACCAGAGATATCTTCATCCAAAGACGAAATGCCACCAGTGACAATGGGATTTGCTGGGTTGATGATCGATGGCCCAGTTTCTTCTTCAAGATTGGCTGATGGAATCATACCCATCAAGATATTGTTCAAGAATGGCATATGCTCGACAAGCAGTGCATCTTGACGGTTTCTGGCATCAGCAGAGAAGAACTCGGCAACAACTGTTGTTGAGCTTTGGAAAGAACCTTGAGGATAGAGTCCTCTTGGCAGCTCCTCATCACGAAGAATCTCAATCGCCTGAAGATCTAAGGTCATTTTTTATCCTGTGGCACATGCCAGATAGGTAAAAGCGAGGGACTTACCTCGGCTTGGATGAAATCTTTCCATGCTTCTCTGCCAGTTGGAGTCCTCTTGATGAAACCACCGAGATGCTCAAGAAACCCAACAGTTGACTCAATTCCCGTGGGCTGGGCCCAATATCGTCGAAGGTAAGCTAAATCTGGGTTTGGTGAGGTTAAGTAGTGAAGCATGAACTGCTTCGGAGTCATCTTATTGGGGAGGCTGCGGAGAATCTCACAGACCTCAAGTACCTTTTGGTCTCTGGTGTTTGGCTGTTCCATTTGAATTTGTAGTTTAATTCTATAAGCGGAATAGATTGGCGCAATTGAGAGCAAGGAATTTCTATGATTGAGGACGAATATGGCAATGTTTGATGAGGTGCAGTCTGGTGAGTAGGGTGATCAATCTTGGGAGGAGGACCGGGCAGTTATATATGTGTTATCACTATCTCCAAGAAGAATTGTGCTTGGGTTATAACATGTTTCATACAGTGGTATGCCTTTCTATACAGTTAGGATCCCCGAAGATGTGTCAAGCTAGCTAAATACATGCATATATCTTACAGGTCAGAGAGCTTGAAAATTTGAAAAATCAAAGGGACATGCAATGAGAACCGTTGGGCTTTTGGAGATGAGTGCAACACCTTAAGATGGGCGGAGATGATGCCAGTCTGATGGTGCAAAGGGCGTCTGTGGGGCCCATTGGGAAGACTCGGAAAAACAATGAGGCACAAAATCCCCACCAAAGACCCTCAGATGCTCCAGCCAAAAATCCATCATTACATTCAAGTCCCTCCTTCGGAGGCTCGCGCTTCGCGCGAGGGGCGTTTCACGCCAGCCCAGGTCACCAGGCCCTCCGATCGAGGGACTTGTGTTAAGTTAGACACAGTCGAGACAGGGGATACCAATCCATTCCCACCACATCCTCACCCGACTGGTCCGACTGCCCCCACCCGAAGGAAACATCAACCCGGCCCAGCCACCAACAACCAAGGCCAACCCTCAATGGATCCCCGCGAGCACACATCCGGCAACCTACTCAGCGCGGACGGCCTCGGTCTACATTCCTATGATCCTCTCACGAACTCAACCTACAGCTCACTCGGCCAGGATGACCGCATGCACCACCACGGCCTCCACGCCAGCCAGACGAACATCGAGGTCAGCGGTGGTCATTATGGGACCCCCTCTCAAGCCATCGGCTCATTGACCGGCGTTCATCGGGTCGGGGGGGCTATTCCGTCTGGGCAGCTGTCCTATACGAGGACTGCGGTGCCTGCGACTCCACCATCAGGTATCTTGACTATGTCGGCTCCAGCTCGAATCGATCCCATCTCATCTTCCGCGGCCAGCGCACGTTTGAAATCTTCTTCGACCCGCAAGCAGAACCGGACTCGCGCGGAGATCGATGCTGCCAAAGCGGTCACTGCTGCTAAGAAGGCCGAGAAGATCCAGAGGGCGGCGCAGAGGCTGGAAGCTCAGAGGCAGAAACAGGCCGCGAAGGAGGCCCGTGCGGCATTGAAGGTAACGGACACGGGGACTCCGACCCCTAGGTTTGTTTGGTCTGAAGATGCCTTGTTGGAACTTCTGCGTTTCGTGAAGGAGGTCAAGGAGGAACACGACGATCTCAGCGAGCGGACTCCCGGATTCATAGCCTGGTCTCCCTACTTCCTGAACCGTGAGGCCGATCGGGATCTCTTCCCTCTACTGATTGGCATTGCGAATGATGTCATCCTTCGCCGCTACCGGGCTTTGATGAACGTCTGGAAGGTAGGTACACTGTTGGGGTCTGCCCACTCGCTTGTGGATTGGCCTAACTGAGATGATTTCTTGTGGTCGCTTTACAGGTTGTTTTCGACAGGCTATCTCATTCGGGTAGCGACGGACTACATGACGTATTGGCAAAAGAGCATCTGTCGGAAACGGTGAGTAACACTACCGCGAGCTCTTGGATTGGGGTCTCATACTCAACTGATCCTTGGGGAATTGCAGCTTTACAATTTTATGAATGCAATGCACGGAGACAACGCCGCAGCCAATGCCTATGGGCATATTGAACTGGACGATGACCTGGGGGCCCTCGTGGATGACGTCGGACCTGAGGAGACCGTCGATGGTCAAGCGTCGGTCATGACGAATACGGTCCTGGAGGACGCGCAACTGGTGCGAGATCGTCGCGGGGAGGCAGGTTTGACGGCTGCCGAGTTGGCGTTGGACGACTCTGATAACGATGTGACGGGGCAAGATTCACCCTTGGCAACCATAGATGGCGGCCGACCGCCTGCATCGTCGCTGTTTGATGGGATCCCCAGGGGGCCGACGTTACCAGCCCCAATGACCCGGCCACAGGCCACCCCGGCCCCACCATCAATTGAGGCGCCGGTGGGCCCGGGAGTGGTGATAACGAAGCCGCCGCCTGCCACCCCCCACCCTTCCCGCCGACGCGGCCGGACCGAAGTTGCCAAACCCGACGATTCATCTACTCAGGCGCTGTTGCAGATGTTTCAGCAGTCCCAAGATCGCCAGGAGGCCGCTCGAGTTGAGGATCGCCGGTTGGCGGACGTGCGGGCCAATGAGAAGGAGTCGGCGCGGGCGGCCGCTGCCACCCAGGCGGCCGCTGCCACCCAGGCGGCCCATGATCGCTCAATCAGGGATGGTCAACTCAAGCTGGACCGCGACGTGGCCGAGAAAAGGAATCAGGCCCTGGATGAGGAGCGTCGGGTGCGTGACGAGGATCGGAAGGAAGAGAAGCGACAGGCACTGGAATGGCGGCAAGAAGAGGGTCGGAGATACGAGGCTAGTCAGAAGCTTTTGGCCGAGGAGCGGAAGGTTCAAGATACCGCTCGTCGGGAGCAGGAAAGGGCCAGCCAGTTGTTCCAGGCCGCCATGATGCGAATGCTGGGGGTTCAGGACCTCCTCCCGACCGCTGGCAAATCCTAGGCCTTGCATTTGGTTCATCTTGCTCTCTGAGGCATTTCATATGTCTCGTCTTACTGTCCGAGTGCTCTCTTATGTCGCCATGTTATGTTTTCTCTTTGTTATGTTTTCTCTTTGTCCTTGCAATCTACCTGCCGTTCCTCTGCCCTTGGAATGCTACTCATGTGATCTAAGCCCTGCGGTTGAACCCCGTACTACATCATCGACCTCATGCGCCCACATGCGGCTCTTGGTCCGTGCGCGCCGTGATTCTGATGACCCCGTTTGAGCAGCTGTATCAGTTAGGGTTGCCTATCCTGGTGATTTCCCCCCAGGTATCATCACTGGTGAGCGACTCAGGTGCGGTAGGAGTCAGGGCTAACATCGGATCCAGACGCATTTTTGCTGCCATGTCTCAACTTAACGACCCCGACGGTGGCATTCCGGACAGCGACACAGCCCAAACGACCGAACTGAACGCTAGGGTCCGCCATGAAAAGGAGGCACACGGGATTGGCAACTGCCCATCTAACATCCGAGCAAACGACCGCGGTCATTACCTACGGAACAGCATGCGCCGCGAATGGGTGAGCAAGCCGGCCCTGACAATTTCCCTCTCCTGACGCACTGACAATGTTTGACCTCCCCCAGCTGCCCGAGGCCCATCCGGGAGCCAACAGCTTTGGTCGCTCGAATGAGGACGATAGGTCCGATTCCGACCATAACGCACTCAGGACCCACTGCGACGGCGAACATAGCACTGAAGCCCCCAGCGTCCCGGTACCCTCGACGCCGGAGAACTCCTTGAGGCTTTCCTCATCAGGCCGGTCCCACTCACACGAGGACTCGACCGTCCACACTAGCACTACAGATTCACGAACTCCCCCTGGGAGTCCTGGGTCACAAGGGACCACGCGGGCCCCATTGCCATCAGCAGTTTCCTCTGAATCCGACCCGACCGGGGTCATCGACCCGGGCGCCGACGACTACAAACTTAGGCAAGCAACCTCAAACGCAATTAGAATGTTGTTTTGGGATGGCACGTAGATCAGATAGGATCCATGAATTTCTTCTGAGACATGATATGACTAAATAACAGAGGGAATATATTGAATCCCATGATCCGCCGTGTCAACACAATTGCCTCCTAAGATCATCACGCACGGCGTTCATAGACATTCCGACCTCATTTGCCATAGGTCTTCGCCCCCCCTCGTGCCGCTCGTTAGGGAGCTCGTTGAAGGCGAGTTCGGCCGCATTGCGTGTGTCCCATCCCTGAAGATACAGTGCCCCCCGCTTGTTGAGCAGATTATGCAGGATCATGCATGCAAAGGCATTATTCCTCGCACGCAGGGGCCGGGCCATCTGTGCGTGTAAGAGGATCCGGAAGCGATTCTTGAGTCGGCCGAACACCTGCTCGACGATGATCCGAGTGGAGGACTGAATGTAGTTGAAATGCTCGTTCTCCGGGGTTGCGGTCGATGGGTAAGGTAGTAGAATCCGGACGTTAGATGGATAGCCAGCATCACCGATCAGGTACGTCCCATCAGGTATCATTGGGCGCGCCCTCGTCCCGGTAGTTATGCTATGCCCCAGCTCGGACCGACGGAAGAGCCTCCCATCATGCATGGAACCTGGGGCTCCACCACTGACCTAGACATCCGGGACCAAGGGGGGTGATCAGTTCTGATGCCCGATGAGTGCCAGAGATTGGCGGGAACTTACATTGCGGAAATTGCCTTCGCCATCGACAACGCATTGGAAGACAATGGAGGCCCAGCTTTTCCTATTGATGTAGCCTTTCCATCTGTCCTCCGCCGGGGTGGCCACGGGGATGTGTGTCCCATCAATCGCTCCAACGACATTAGGAATGCCATGCTTGGCCTCAAAGGATGCACTGATCTCGCTCCACTGATCCGCCCGGTCTAATGGAGGATAGCTGCAGATGAAGTCAGGCATCAGTTCCTCCCCACCCACATTTTCAAATAGATAAAAAAGCAAACAGAATCAATCCCAAGTACCTGATAGCCACCCGCCGGAACCTCGCCAGAACCGCAATCACAAAGCGGCCAGCTGCCTTGTCGGCAGTCTCTTTACCAATGTTGAATACATGGCCAAGAGTCACATAGCTGCAACCGTGACCGAGTCGGTACAATCCCACGGCAACTTGAGCTTCTACTGACAAGGGGTCCCCCCGCCGCAACGGATCCAGCTGCAAGAGGTCCCGCAGGTTGTTACTCAACCACCGGAAGTCTTCAATAGACATCCTAAACAGTTCGATAAATCGTGTTGGGGGGATTCTTGCATCCAACCACGGTTCCCACCGATCGGGCCGTTTGAAAGCTTCCCGGCGCGCACGGATGTAGATCAATTCCGGTTCCCTTTGAAGCTCTTGAGTCAGGAGCCACAGGGCCATCACATCGTCCGTCCAACTTCCCGGCATCTTCATGAAGTCTGCTACTTCATCCCCCGTCGGCGATGGCCTCCTCATAGACCCAAGCAAATGCCAGCCGGGGGTTACTGGGCTGGCCTTGGTAGAGCCACAAATAGGTCTCACACGAGACCTAACCCTGGCCGGGGCCAGGCCATATAACCCCGTGTTTCATGTAGTTATATACGGTACCATCATCAGTCCAATTCCCTTCTTCCACCCCCCCCCCCCTGATCACAATCGCCCATGGCGCTTCCCTGGGAGACAGACGGTGGAGTCAACGGCCGCCCTAATAGCATTGAAGTTCTCCTGGATTGGCTATCGGTTCCAGATAACTATGATAGGTGGTGCCAAGCCGAGCGGAAGGCTCCACTGACAAAGGAAATCCACCAGGTGATGATCCAAAGAGGCATCCACCATCGGACCCCACATGGTAAGGCCCAGTCAACCCTCCATCCGACCTTTTACGACATACTGATAGCCAGAAAATATAGGCATCTCGTGGAAAATACACATGCTCCGCGAAGGATACCATCATGCATGCAACTACCGCCGGCTGAGCCCAGAGGACCTTCGCCAACGATACCCCCATGGATACCTTTCCTTCGATGGTAACTCACTCACTTCTCAACCTCATCGCACCTACGCAGCCAACCTAACCCCCCACCCCCCCCCCACCCCAACAGGTTATGCGGATATGATCTGCCGGGACTGGCCCTGACTCGAGCAGATATTTGGTCCGCCCGATGACCTTCCACTCGACGCTTCCCAACCCGCCCTGTCGTCCAGAGAAATGATCAAGGACAACTCTGACGCAGCCTCCCAAATCGTCGACTTCGTTGACCGCATCAACAATCAGTATCATCAGACCATGCAGGAGACCCCAGGGTTCCAACGATGGTCTACATACTTCAATAACAACAGAAGCAACCGAGCTGATTACCCCCTCTTGCAGGGCTTAGATAATGAGGTCATCTTGCGACGATACTACAACTTAACCATGGGTTCCAACCGGAACCGACCTGATTTTCCCTACTGAGCCCTTTGCCTCATTATTGTAGAAAGCTGTTGTCTAGTTGTCTAGTCGTGATAGATAGAGAGCCTGGTCGTTTTTGAAAGAGAGCCTACGCATTGATCATAGAGAAATAAAGCCCAAAGCCCATCGGCTTACCCCAGACAAGACCCCACCTGTGAGCACATCTACTCGGTGGTGTCAGTGTGACAAATGCGCTGCACCTGATGAGAGGTCAGGAGTTCCGCCAGATTGATGCAGATGGTGCATGAAAATGGACCCACGGCGCCACGGCCGGTGTAGTTTTATAACTGCATAAATTATTTGAGTCTGTTTCGAAAACTTTTTGAACTTCTTTTTCATTTCTTTTTGATTTCTTTTTCGTTTTCAAATACTTTTCAAATAAAAAAAGCCGAAATCCAAAAACTTGGTTTATAATCAGGGCCTTGATCATTGAGTTCCAGTAATCATGACTTGTTGGGAAAAAGCATTCCGAATGAAACTTTCTGTACCAATACTCAAGTAGAACAAGTGAGACCCAAATGACTCGCGAGTATGGCATTGGATGACCGAGGTACTGATTCACCAAGTAAATTTGTACTTCGCCAAACTCGTCTAGCTGAAATTCTCCGTCCTCCTCCTTCTCAATATCTCCAATGATAGCAAGGCTGTTTCCTTCTGTTCCAAGGAGGATGTCCTTGAACCACTGACTGAAGGATTTCAGTGCATCATCCGGCACCCACTTTCCTTGTGATTTCAGCTGATGAATTATCTCTCGGTGGCATATGCTCAAATGAGTATCGAGTAGATTGAACTTGCTTACGATGGTGCGTAATCTGCCATCGGTTGGCGACCCATCTCCAACTCTTATTCTATACTTGAAGTTGGAGGGCGTGTCCTCAGATCTGTGTTTGTATCTTCGAATTCTTACTGAAAGACCCTCAACTTGTATGGAGTCTGCAGCAAAATCAGTGCTACCAAATACGAGAAAATCCTTTGATGGTTCTATTGATCCATCTCCAGATAAATGCCTTTCAAGGAACCTTTCAGGTTTCATCGTCACTGGAAATCGGCTGAGATCTGGAATTTTCAAGCTTCCCAAGCTATCCCAATCTGTGAATTTTTCATCCTCTTGATCACCAGTACCTCCTGAACCGATAGATTTGTATAGAGCTAGTAGCAGATATATCTCTGGGCTGTATCCATCCCGATTATTATTGATGTGTTCCCAAATCTGTGGATGGAACTCACGGTACCATGATTGAATGATTAGGATAGAAGCCTCAAGGGAATCTTCTTCAGGGTCGTGCCTCGATAGTTGTTCCAGCAAAATCTTTTGGATTCTCCCAAACTCTTTTACTGGCTTCAAGTGATGTGTTGTTTCAAGCATTCCAAAGACAGGGAAGCTGTTCTGAGGTTTAAATGCTTGATCAAACAGCCAATTTGACAATTCTCTGTTTGAGGACGATTGATCAAGGTTGGGTTCTACCAGCTTGAGGTCTTTTAAAACAGCCATATCGATTAGAATGAGCCACTCGATGATGTTCTTGAGACTCATCTTCAGGTAACTTGGACTTTGTCTCATAGCCCTTTTTTCACCCACAACCCGTATGAAGAAATCCTGTCTATCTAGTACTGGTAATTTTAGAGCAGGAGAACCCTCTACTTTGAATTTCTCCCAATGTTCTCCAATGTGGGGGTACTTTTTGGCTGATTTCTTCATGTGTGTAAAACATTGATCCACAAATTCTTGCAAGAATTGTTCACTGATTCTGCCTTCAGTTTTTGATCTCAAGTCCCAAGTATGAAAAGAAGTATTGTTGATGAGGTCAAGTTCTTTGATTATTTTGTCCCACTTTTCTCTTTGATTTAAGATTGATCTAACAGAGGAAAAAATTTGCACAGAATTATTTGTCTGTTTCTCATCACATTGTAGAAGCCTTTCTAGTTCTAGATAAAGTGCGTTACTTTCTTGAATCCTTGGTATGGGGTTGTTGAGTTCAAGAGGTTCAAATCCTGAAGGAGCATCATGATCCCCCAGAATGTTTGAAATATCTGGAGAACCCAGTTTATGGTGCTCTGGTGCCCAGGAGTTCTGAGGATCTTCACAATTTTGTCCCATGTTGTTGTAGTACTTTGGTGGTGTTGTATGGTGGTTGGAATCAGAAGGTGAAAATTCTGGAGAAAAATACAGAGTTTCCAAAAGATTGGAAGCATCTTGAAAATCTATACCCAAGCTTCCTAGTGGCAAGGGGTTTTGGATTTCCATACTTGCCGGTTCCATGCTGTTGTGATGGTGTGCAGGTCTGGGGTTGTTGGGATGAGCAGGTATAAAATCTGGTGAAAATTCACAAGATGCCTGGTAATTTGAATCACTTTGTAACCCCATTCCAGAGCTCTCTATTGGCACAGGATTTTGATAATCTATTGTGCTTGATGCCATGCTATTTTCATGTGGAAGAGGTGCATGATGACTGGAAACAAAAGACATCAAACCTCGGGAAACATCACCAGATCCCAACACATTTGAATAATCTTGAAAATATGTACCAAGGTTTCCAATTTGCCAGCTGCTTTGAGCATCCATGCTGCTTGAACCTATACTAGTGTAATGATGTGGTATAGGTATAGGGTTATTTTGATCAAAATAAGCACTTGGAGAAAAATCAAAAGACTGTAGAAGATTTGAATCATCTTGAGATTTCATCCCAGAGTATTCTAAAGGACAGGAGCTTGGGTTATCCACCATCCCTGCCCCTAAATTACTGTACTGGGGTATAGATTCAAACATGCAATTTGATGTTGTTGGTAAAGTGGGTAATTCACCTGTCAAGCTTTCAGGTGTCTGAAAGAGAGGGTAATCATAGGACATAAGTGGTAAAAGCAAATCTCCCAGAATTCCTTCCTCAGGGGATTGCTGATGATTGAAGGTTGAACTTGAAGTTTTAAGCATGTCTGTTTCTAAAATGGGTTTTGTTAAGGATTTTCTTACTTTAAAGGCAACTTTTTTGCATTTGAATTGGAGTCAATTTTCTCACCTTTCATGCCATAAAACTGCATCATATCCTCAAGATTGGACTGAAACGTGTGTCCAGAGAGGAAGCTATGAATCCAACTGCCTGACCCCATCTCAACATCTCTTTTTAACCTTTTTTCTGGGTTTTCAATTGTTTCATTTTCAGGGACAACTGTTGAATGATGACAATCAGCCCCACCAGAGGTGGATTAAGGATTACAGGCTTTCTTTTGACTCACCTTGTAGATTTGGAATTGTCCTTGATTTTTGTGTCTGCCGGAGTGTATACCCATCTCCCAGTGGCCTCTTGCAATTTCTGTCAGCCCCAAAAGTAGCCTGAAAATGTGGAATTGTGTCCAAAGGGTTTTCCTTGTTTTGAGAATCAACCAAATGTTGGAATCCATGAAGTTCTTCAGACCATAGACTTGGTAAAGCTGATACTCTAAACCTTTGAAAGAACAACAAGCCAAAGAGATGAAACTTGATTTCAGATAGAAGCATTATAAAGAATATGAATGATTTTGGGAGTTTTAAGGCCTTTGTATGAAGTTGGATATGGAAGAAAGTAAGATTTTTGTTGAAGCTACCAGCCTAGGCCTTTCCATGATTTTTTTTCTTGGGGTTTCAACACCTGGGTTGATCACAAGTTCACAAGCATAAATTTGTCTGTAAATGCTTTGTTGAATACTTTAAATGTCACACAGAATAAGGTTTTTTTGTCAAGAATGGTTAGATTATGTCTGAGACATGTTTGGCTCACCCATAGAGAAGAAAAAAAAGGAAAATTTCATATCACTCATACTTTTGATGAAACAGATTGTGCTAGTTACAACTTTCAGTCTGACAGTTGTCAATAGCACAATTGAACTGACATTAGATCACAACAGATTTTTTTAATCTAGTTCTTACTGTAAAAATAAATGTGATACCTGTAAAACATCATAGAATTTCATGCTTCCTCAACAGTGGGAATAGAACCCATCTCTCAGACTCTCTAGTATTGGGATGCTAAAGTTTTCCAACTATCAATCTAGTGCATCATAGTGGGCACAACTGTTAGTTTCAGTGCCATAAAACTAAGATTTAACATAAAAAACATTACTCTGAAAAAATCTTAAAGAACTGCTGCCATATGAAATGAAGAAACCCTCTTCAAAGTTGAGTTTTTACTCAGATTTTACTCAACCATAATACACAGTCACTCTGCAGAAATTCTTAGATTTGAATTCAGTACAGTATGACAGAAGTATCATTGGGATTAAACTGCATGTCAAGTGCTACCAGTTTGGTAAGATTTTCTTTTTGTAGTGAATAGTGTTAGAGGTATTACACTATCTGTTTGAGATTTTGCTTTGCTGAGGAGGAAGGGTTCAAAGGAGGTGTTTTGAAATAGGATTTGGTTGGTGTGGTTTTCTCAGAGAGGAGGAGACAAGTCAGCAGAAAAAGATAGGTCAAAACAAATAGAACACGAGAAAGGACAGCACAGGTGACAGAAAAGGAAGAGGGTGGACTACAAATTAATACATGTCCATTATTCTGAGACTATAACTATGCCTTACTTGATCTGTTCCACTGTTGGTTGCGGGGATGTTTGAATACTAAAAAATTACAAAATGAAGCAAAAATTTCATTCCCTATCTGTCAAAAATCTCTCTCAAACACCAGGAAAAAACAATGATCACTTGATGACAAGTGAAATCAGGCTAAGTTCATCATGCTACTCATTATGTACCCAGCTCAACTCTGTTTTGGCCCCCTGACGCGCTCAGCTGTCAGCCTTAGAGCAAGCCAAGCTGGCCAAAAGACTGCTGAAGTCATCCTTTCTCACTCAAGTTCCTACTGAAACTTTTTCAGCTTAATATTTAATTACATTCTGAATTAAGAAATGAATTCATTTGTTGATTTTAACCTTAGTCACCACTGCCCACTTTTACACTACTCTTCTCCTACATAGACTTTGTAATATTTCACCGTACCTTGTGAAATATCAACCAAGTTAGAATTCTAACTCTCTCTACCACATGTACATGTTGTGATTATGTCAAGATACTGAGTTCACATTTTCAGGATCTTCAAGGTTCAGACCCACCCAGAACCAACTCAGACCAGAAAACCAGCACAACTCAACTTGGATTCACTGCTGTATCATTGCTGTGTTATTGTTAGGAGTCCTTTACCTATTGGAATCTTCCCACTCATTGTGTCAGGATCACCAATAAGTAAGTCATTCCTTCAAGTTCAGCGTGCATCTTTCTGCTAAGTTCCTTCTCTGTCTCTCTGAATGATCACTTCATTCTGTTTCTACTAAACCTCTGCCTCAATCATCATCACATCCAATCAAGTCATCTTTATTTTCTGTCTAGTGGTATAAATGAAAACCACATAGGTTTCCCTTTAAAGAACCTTGATCATTGATCTAAAAATAGTGGTTGGATTGACATATCAATACCAAGTACCCTTCTCAGTTTCATTTGAGTAAGGAGGTGTATATTTATTCCACTATAAAAACAGCCATCCTTTACTGGAAAGTAAGACTGCATCAAACCTTGATTTCAAAGTAAATAAACAATAAAAATATCATTCATTTCATTTCATTTCTCTTTCTTTCTCTCTCCCTTCCTCTTCTTCTAGTATTGCCCCCAACTCTTGTGTCCTGCCGTCACTTTAGAGAACCAGACTCACAAGTGCACAAATGGGCTGTTGTAGTTGGATTGTCGTACCACTGGAGCTACACTGGAGTTGTAATAAATGCTACATAAGGTCACCTGTCATCTGGTGAGCTTTTTTTTTCCTGGTGAAAATTCTTGTATGATGTTTTTTTTCTTCTGGAGGTCTGTAAAAATATATAGCTAAAGCAGAATTTAGAATATCAGTAACCTTAATCTTTGAATAAAACATGCAGTTTGTTGTTTCAGTCATCTCCTGAAGGAATAGATAAAATTTTTAAAAAACATCTACCAGAGTGTATTTTTCATGATAAATTACAGACTCAAGTCAGGCTTTGTTTGTTTATAGAAATACTAATTTTCTTACTGGGTCTTCTTCTACCAATGCAGTTTCCTTCATGATCATATTTAATCAATGAATATTTACCTCCCCTATTGAGTTTTTTTTTCAGAGATTTAATCATAGAATTCCAGTATTCATCACTTGTTGAGAAAAAACATTCTGGATGAAACCTTCTGTACCAATACTCAAGTAGAGCAAGTGAGACCCAAATCACCCTAGCATATGCTGTCTGATGACTGAAGTATTGAGTTACCATGTATATTTGAACTTTTCCAAAGTCTTCCCAATTCAACTGAACTTTTCCTGTTTCTATATCTCCTATTATTGGAAGGCTTTGATCCTCTTTTCCAGTGAGGACTCTCTTGAACCAATCACTAAAAGAATTCAGTGCATCTTCCACCACTTCCTTTCCTTGTGAGTTCATGTGGCATAGTATTTCTCTGTGGCATATTTTCAAGTGGGTATCAAGGAGATTGAACCTGCTTATCACATTATTCAATCTAGAGGCTTTTGACCCATCTTCAAGTCTTATTCTATATTTGAATATTTGTGTTTCAGATTTATTTTTGTATTTCCAAACTCTTGCAGGTAAACCTTCAACTTTGATTGAATTTGGTTCAAAATCACTTTGTTTTATTTTGAGAATGTCAATTGGCGGATTGATTGATCCATCTCCAGATAGACCCTTTGTAAAAAACCTTTCAGGTTTCATTGTGAATGGGAATTTTCTTAGATTTGGAATTTTCAAATCATCTAAGCTATCCCATTCTGTGAGGATTTCCTCATCTTCTTGGACAGTAATTCCTGAATCAATGGCTTTGTATAAAATCAAGACCAGATATATTTCTGGGCTGCAACCATCATGGTTATTCTTGATCTTTTCCCAAATTGTTGGATGGAAATCATGGTACCACAGTTCAATTATTGAAATTGCGGCCTCAAGAGAGTATTTGCCATGCCTTTTTCTTGATATTTGTTCAAGTAAAATCTTTTGAATCAATCCAAATTCATTTCCTTGACGCAAGTCTTTCTCACTCGGAACTATTCCAAAAACTGGGAAACTGTGCTCTGGTGTGAATGCTTGATCAAGCAACCACTTTGACAATTCCATGTTTGAGGCAGATGAAACTAGAATCAGTTCTTCTGGACTGAGGCCATTCAAGACAGCAGTATTAATGAGCATGAGCCAATTTATGATATGTGTTAGATTATGCTTTATGTAACTGGGGCTGTGATTTATCCCTCTTTTTTCACCCACAACCTGTATCAAGAATTGATCATCTATATCTTTTAATGGTATTCTTGCAGCAGGAGAGTCCTGAATTGCATGTTTTTTCCAATTTTTTCTTATTCCATGGTGTTGCTTGTATGGGTTTCTCAAGTGTTTCAAAATTTTCTCACCAGTTTCTTTCCTAATATTTTCATCTACCCATTTATCTGCTTCATAACCCAGACAAAAAGTATGGTAAGAGGTCTTGTTGATTATATCAAGTTCTTCAAGTTTTCTATTCCAATTTTCTTTCTTGTTCAAAAGTAATTTTACAGGAGAATAGCCTTCTACATCTTCAAGTTTCTTTGTTGCATGGCAGTCTGGGAGGCTTCCAGGATGAGGGGATTTCCTTTTCAGGTTCTTTGATGTTTGATTTTCTGTCTCACAAGGTACAAAAACTGAATTGAAATCAAAAAATTCTTGATTTTTTGAAGGATGTTGAGAGTGTGTTTTGGGAATTTCTGGTGGCCATGAGATTTTGTGATCTTTACTGCTTGTTTTCATGTGATCATGATTTGTTATAGTTGTGTGGTCATTCTGATTAAAATATTTAAAAGCTGTAGAAACATCAAAAGATTTCATAAAATCTGAATCATCTTGAAAATCTATGCCAGAATTTCTTATTTCCCAAGATTCTTGTGTATTCTTGTGTTCTGGTGCTACATAATTATTGTGTGGTGTAGACTCAAAAAGGTAATTTGGTGCTGATAGTAAACTGGGCAATTTTCCCAATGTGTTTTCAGGTATGCCTGAGAGATGGTAATCAGTTGATATGAGTGGTGAAATTGAAAAATTGGATCCTTCTCTTTCTGTGTATACCTTTGTGTGAAAATGGTCAGTTGCCAGGTTCAATGTACCTGTTCCTAAGATTAAGGGATTCTTTGCTTTCAACATACAACTTCCAAATATTCTGACACAAAGCAAATTATTTTTTCTCACCCTGGAAGCCATAATAATTAAGAAACCCCTCAGGATTTGACTGAAAATCATTCCCCAAGGATAAGCTTGGTGTCCAACAATCAAAAGTATTGTCAGGACCTTTCCTCAATTTTTTTCCTGGGTGCTCAGTTTCTGGAATTTCAGAACAAACTGAAAAGAAATTGATGTGAGTTTTGGTGGAGATTAAAAATTGGCTTTGAAAATTTGCGCTGGACTTGCCTTTTGGAATTGTGCACAAGTGTGGTGGCTGGGGTGCATACACATTTACCACTGGGTTATTTTGATTATTTTCACCATCCAAGGCAGCTTGAAATTCCAAAATTGTTTTTGATAAGCTTCTATCATTGAAGCTATCAACTGCAGAGCTTTGATTGATACTCTCAGCAAGAGGCTGGTAGTCATGTCTGCCTCCTTGCCACAAGCTTGGGTGAGCTAACACCTGTAGATAAGGGCAGTAAAAAACTCCATAGATCAGACAAAACTGGTAGAAACAAAAAGGCATTTTCAGGAAGATCAAAGAATGAAAGTAATTGGCTTTTCAGGTATTGTAAAAGAAAATGGGATGTATTTAACACCTAAATTGACCCTGTGCATCTACATGAAGGTGTTTGATGAGCTTAATTTTACAGAAATTTACAACTCCCAAAGGTGTTCACTTGCCCACTCAGGACTGATACCCATGTCTCACATATCACTAGGTGTAATAACACATGAAACCCTGTTTACTTGTTTCCAAGGTATGTTTCAACCTGTCTAATACAAGAAAGCATGCTGTGTCATCAACGGTGCAACAGAGACAAGAAAAGATGGTATCAGGTGTTTATTTGTATTGTCTCAGAAGTTGAATACCCAAAAATACTGGATTGGTGTTGTCTCACTTTCCTGAGACAATACACACATATTGTCTTTGGAAAGTGAGACAAGTATTCTATATTGTCTCAGATGACTGATCCCACCAAAAACGTTGTGGTAGCTGAATGTGTAAAAATTCAAAGTTTTTTATTATTCTTTTTTATCCCTCTTTTTTCCTCTACACAAGAAATGGATTCTACACTCAATTTCACCCTTGGTCACCACTGGAGGCGTCACTGGAACCCAACTGGATTGGAAGCTACACTCTCTGGCCTCTCACAACACTTACTTACACACCTCAACACCATGGAAACACTCAACCACCATCAACACATCAACAATTACATATCTCACACTATACATATGCACATTGCAGGACAACTACACACTCACACCAGCATAGTACATAAGTATACACACCACTTCACTATCTTCTGACATATTGACACATGCAGTATTAGTGTAGTACCACTCTGGATTTACAAGTGACATCATGCAGGTTGTAATGTCATTTGTTATTCTTCCTTGCAGCTGTCAGACTATCTCACACCACTCATGTAATCTTCATCACTCCATCTTAGTTTAGACTAGTACAATCACCTCATGTAGCATCCTACACCAGCATAAAACCCTCATGTAGACTTCTAGTTCAAGCTAAAATGACCCTTATGACATCATGTAGGTTGCTCAACCAGCCAAAATACCTCATGTACATGTTCTGACTAGCTAAATCCCCTCATTGTAAAGCTCTGGCCAGCTAAAATCTCTCATTCTCTTGTTACTCTGAAGCTAAAATCCCTCACCTTTGTGTATTTCAGGAGGCTCTTGGCTCTCCTCCCAGTTGTTTTTCCCCTCAGTTTAGTACCCACAAATCACATACCCCCTACCATTACATACCATACCATTAACATTACATACTGTAACAACCCTTACAAACAGCCTATAACAACCCTTACACTTGTAGTACACACTAAACTCACTCTCATACTCTCAAAACCTCTTCTCTCATACAATTATATTGCGATCAAACAACTTATTCTCAAACCAACCACCCCTATCACTTGATTAAAACTTGCCAAGCTAAGCTTGGTGGGTCTTGTTATCTGATAGTCCAGAAGGGCAGAGCTTGCAACTCCACCATACCCTTCAACATTCAGCAAAAGGGTCCTCACAACCACTTTTGAGTCTTACAACGTGTTTGATACACAAGACATTTGGCTGTATTGAAGAAAAAAAAAACAAAGACAATTTTTTCTTCATTTGTAAATCCAAATCCAAGAAAATGGATTTTCTCACCAACCAAGAAAATACTGATACCAGTATCAGGTGTTAATGGATGAGTGAAAGAGTCAAAGAGGGAAAGACTCGATGAGTTTGTATTTCTGGATCAACAAACTCAAGCTTTAAATAGTAAAAGAAAAGATGCTACAAATGAGATAACACAGTATAAAGCTATTCTCAACTGGACTGATGAGAGCACAGATAGATATAAGCATGACTAGGAAAATATGCTAATAAAGAGTTTTGAGAAAAAAAAGAGAGCTACAATACATGAATACTAACATCAGGCTCAAAATAAAGAAAATATGAACCGATATGAATACATGTCTCGTATCTGTTGAACTGTTGGTGTCATTCACAGGTTTTTAGAATTCAAAACAGTCATATCAGTGTCTCTTCAATACCAGGAAGAAACAATACCCACTAGATGACAGGTGGCATCATTTAGCTTTGATCAACAATCCACCCCAGCTCCAGTTTGAGTGCAACCCAACTAAAATGGCCTTGTTGTGTCCATAAGGGGGGCTGAAACAGAGCTGATCTAGGTACATGATGTGTAACATGCAAAGTGCAGGTGGCTGAAACAGATTTGAGATGGGTATGTAATGGGTAGCATGCCATACTTAGCCTGATGTCAACTATCATCTGGTGATCATTGTTTTTACTGGTGTATTGTGAGTTTTGTTGAGCTAGTAAGACTATTTGATACTATTGTTGACTAAACTCTGAGGTGAAAACTTTGTTCACTTCTCTGAAAAACACAAGAGATCAATTCCTCATCTTCATTCCCTAACTTAATTTCTGTTTACATCATCCAAGTTGGTAAAGTTGTGTTCAAGCTTTGTGAGTATAAATATGACAAAGAGGGTATCCAAAATGGAAATTCATCAAATTTTAAGTAGTAGAATCATTCATTGGCAAAGCCTTTGATTTGTGATTGTCTTTTGGTATTGTTATGACTTTTGTTTCCTTTTGAATGGTTGGGTGGTACTTTTTTTTTGGAGGGGGGGGGGAGTTCCAAGTCATTTTGGAGTGCATTTATGAAGGTCAATTTTGAACATTGACCCCCAAAACACTCTTTTTTCCATTGGGCAAACCAGAAAAGTTAATTAGGCAATTTTTCTTATGAAACAGCAGCAATGCGGCTCCCAAAGCAAAGAGCAAGTGGTGAATCTCAATTCAACCAAATGGACTCAGAAGAAGCCAGATGATAAAACAGGGAATAGGTGTCCTGAGCTGACATATGTTATGCATCCGGCCATATCTGCCATGTCCGACCAGTTGCGCAGTCCAAAAACTGCGGAGTGCCCAACTGATCGGAGTCCGGATCTATCCGACCCGTGTATGGTTTAAAGATTAGTAAAGTAAAACGTTTCCTTCACAAAATCCTGTTGGATCTGCAAGTTGAAATTTCAGGGGTGTGTACTAGTAGTGTTTGATAAGTTTTGGCTATGTATGCGTGTGTTTATAATCCAGGGAATACTTCCAGAAGATGATGATGATACATAAATAAATAGATGTTTCCCCAGGTGAGTGAGTGGCGCGTTCAGGCGTGGGCGCGTGTCGGGTGCTGTGAGTGTGAGGTGGCCGAGCACTATTTAAACCAGCCGATGCCTGAATCAAGCCAACCAACTCAGCATCGATAATGGCCGACTACGTCCTTCGAATACCATCTCCAACGGTCAGGGATCGCTCCAAGCTGGGCTCGACAGCCGGCGACTCGTCAATCGGAACCGACCAATGGCTATGGACACCCCAGGCACTCTACGATACCCCGTCCCGGAAACTAGGGATGGGATGGTCGGAGGAGATCCATCTACGGGCCCGGGCGGTGAACTGGATCGTCAGGATATCTATCACTCTGCAGCTGCCACAGCTTATCATCGCCACCGCAGCCGCCTATGTCCATCGGTTCTACATGAGGAAACCACTCCAGAGATATCCGCCCAAGATGATGAGCGCAACCGCCCTCTTCCTGGCCACCAAAGTCGAGGAAGTACCTAGGAAGCTGGAGTACGTGGTTCGCGAATACTTGTCCGTCGACGAGGATGGTAACGAACGAACAGTCCCGATCAGCGATTCTTCAAACGTAACGTCAACCATATAATATACAATATACACACACCCCATCCTCTGCTCTCCCTCCCAAAAACTCGCTGTACACCTCTTCATCAGAGTCGCCTTCCAACGCTAACCTGGGCCCTATCGACGACCGTCCAACCCAACAGGAGTTTCAAGTGCTCAAGCAGGAGATACTCTATTACGAGGATATCCTTCTACGGACACTGTGTTTCGACCTGGCCGTCGACCATCCCTACGTCTCCTTAATACACAGTGTCAAGTTCATCCACGAGTCCCACGCTCGTGCCCGGCCTTCGAAATCGTCGATCGCGGTCGGAATGGCCGATCGGGCTAAAGCCAAGTCGATCACTCAGGCCGCCTGGGGGTTCATCAACGACTCCTTGATGTCCCCACTGTGTCTCGTCGCCAAACCCGAGCTCATCGCTGCCTCGGCCTTCCTCCTCGCCGTCTCCCATCGTCTCTCCGAATCTCCCCCCTCATATCCGGACCAAGAGGGGAATCATCAAGAGCCACATAGCATCGAAAACGATCCGGTCGACTTCAATCGCTTCCTTAACCTTCCCCCTCGCGACGGACCCGAAGAGGGGTCGATCCAAGAACCCTGGTGGAAGGCTTTCCAAATCGAAAGTCTGGATGAAATACACCGTCAGCATCTTTCTCTCCTCTAAGAGTCGTCTCGTCAACCGATGAAATAACATGTTTCTTTTGTCTTTCAACAGAAGTCGCCAACGCGATGCTCGACCAATATACTCAATCAGTTTGCGATTACATTCGCGACCGGGCGAGCAAGGTACGTTCCGACTAATTTTTATTCCTTCAAAGCATAACAATCTAAAAGTAACTGACAATGGTTTTTTTGTTCTTTTGGAAATTCAGCTTGCGCGGTTCCCAGGGCCATCCTTCCTGCGTGGGCCGGTGGAAGCCATCGAGACCCAGCCGTCTCATACACAAGCAGACACACAAGCTGCAGACAGTGGGATGACCCCAGGGAAGTCAGACGAGCGAAGGACGCCTCCTACTCGGGAAGAGGATCCCAGTCGGGCTGTCTCTTCGACGCCTTCGCGTGCACTGATGAGCGACAACATGGACCTCGGCACACCGAACGAATCGACCAGTCCGTCGCCGAAAAGCCGCCGTGTGCTCTCCCCAACTGGTCCGACCGACGAGAAGTCGCCCACCAACAAACGCTCCAGGTCCCCTGAATCCTCGGCCCGCCCCTCCAAAAATCCCAAGCTCGATCTCCCCTCATCGGCCCCCTCCCAGCCCGCCCCTCAGCCTCCCTCAGTATCCCCTCCTCCCCTTCCGCCGCCAATCCCCCATCAACCAAGCCCTCCCCCTCCCCCTCCCTCAGATCCTCATCCACTTCCTATGGCTAAGTCGCCACCCCCAATCAATAAAGTCGATACCGCTAAAGAAGCCGAGAAGCCCGTTGCGGGCGCGGCTGCATCATCGGAATCCTCCTTGAGCGATATGGAAGATGGTGAATTGGATTAGAATGCCCCTCGCCCTCCCTCAAATTTGTTTCTCTCACTTCTCCACTCTCAAAAAAACTATCCTATTAGTTTCATTCTCTCCCCTCCAAATTAATCACCTTTTGTACTTCTTAGTCGATCGCCTCCTCACATTGTCTGATTACTCAACTCCTCCCTCCCTGGACAATTGCACATAATTTCTCTATAGGACCATTTCAAAGCTTTCCCTTTTTGGTTGGTAGCGTCTGATTGTTGTGAGGGTTCTGGCCAAGCATTTGATCCCAGCTTCACCAATTCAAAGAAAGTGAAAGCCATTGTTGAGGAAGTATATATCGAATTGATCAGCGACTTGAATATAACATCAAGAAAAAGGATGATGAGGATAGTCTTGAGATTGGAACTGGACTTGTATTAAGCATATGATTTCATAAGAGAACAGAATGAAATTGCTGGGTCACAATTGGAGATCCCTAAGATCTGCATGCAATAAAAAGTGACAAAACGGAGATGAAATATAACAAAAGAGTATTGACTGCAATATATTTGTCCTAGGAACTTGGGAAAAGTGCTGGTTTGATCACCATATACTACATGGTTTTTTTAGTCTTGGAAATTGAGTTCATTTGGTACTACTTTGTTTATTTTTAGAAAGTTTTGATCTTCTGGGCTTGCTTTGTTCTTGAGTCGAAAGGATGTATTCTTTCAATTGATAGCCAATATATTTACCTTCATCATCAAATTTTTTCAAAGCATAGCGACCAGACTGATCAAACTTGTGTGACAAAGATCTAATCATAGATTCCCAGTAATCGACACTGGTTGTGAAAAAGCAATCCGGGTGAAATGTAGTGTACCAATACTCCAGTAATGCAAGTGAGATCCAAATGACCTGCATATAAGCTGTGGTATCACTGAAGTAATGTTCTATCAAGTAAATTTGAACTTCTCCAAACTCGTTGGAATCAAACTTATCATCTTCACTATAGAAATCTCCAATCATCGGAAGGCTTTCTCTTCCATCTTTGCCCCCATATTTTCCGAGTAGGACATCTTTGAACCACCCGCTGAAGGAATTCAATGCATCTTCAACTACCCTCTTCCCTTTCGAGATTTGTTGATGAATTATTTCATGGTGACATATCTTCAGATGGATGTCCAGTATATTGAACTTGTACAAAGTACAACGTATTCTTGCTGATGATTGTTTCCCACTGACAATTCTTACTTTATATTTGTTTAATTTATTGGGGAAATTTCCTTTATATTTCCACATTCTGACTGGAAGACCCTCAACTCTGATGATTTGTTTTAGAACATCATTATATTCCAATTTAAGTAGACTCTCCTCTGGTATTATTGATCCAGCACCAGCTGGCTTCCTTGAATAAAACTTTCCAGGCTTCATGGTGACCGGAAACATGCTTAGATTTGGTATTTTCAATTTTCCTAGGCTATCAAGATTGGTGAAATCTTCCTGTTTTCCATCAACAATCATTCCTGAATGAATGGCTTTGTAGACAATCAAAGTCAAATTTGCTTCTGTGCTCAATTTATCCTGGATTGTGTTGTTATTTTCCCATGCAATTGGATTGAATTCCTTGTACCAGAAACACATGATCAAAATGGCAGCCTCAAAAGAATATTTGTAAGGTTTGTTTCTTGATATTTGCTCAAGTAAGATTCTCTGTAAAGTACCAAACTCATTTCCAGGACCCAAATCCTTATCTCCCTGAACTTTTCCAAATACAGGGAAACTGTGCTCTGGTCTAAATGCTTGATCAAACAACCAGTCTCCTAATCTTGTGTTTGAGGCAGATATAGATGAGCTTGATTCATCTGGATTGAGGCTTAACAAGACAGCTTGATTGATGAGCAGAAGCCATTTGATGAGATTGTGAAAATTGTTTTTCAGGTAATGAGGGCTGTGATTCACACCCTTTCTTTCACCCACAACCCGGATCAAAAAATCCTGTGACTTTGGTATCGGTAATTTTACAGCAGGGGATCCCTGGATTTGATGACTTTTCCAGTTTTTTTGTACTTGATGATATTGTTTGCATGAGGTTCTCATGTGTCTCCAAAATTTGTCCACAATACCATATAAAAATTGTTCATTAATCATTCCATCGGGTACAGACTTCAAGTACCAGATATCATCAAAGATGTCATTATACATTTTTAGCTTTTGAATTTCCTCATTCCAAATATCTCTTTTATTTGAGAGTAATTCTATTGGGAAATTTTGAGCTTTTATTTTTGCATGTCCACTTGTCTTAATCTCTGTAGATTTTGGAGACACTTCTTCACAAGGTGATTCATTATTCTCCACACTTTTTGGCATGGGGTCATTATGATGATCAAAATATTCTAAATCTAGAGGAATGTCAAAAGATGAAAAGGAATCTGGATCATGATGAAATTCTATTTCAAATTGTTTGGGATTCATTTCCTGAGTGAATGAGTTTAGGTCATTGTGCTGTGGTATGTGGGGTAAGTTCATGGTCATTATAGTATTCTAAATCAGCAGGGATATTGAAAGAGCCCCAAAGATTTGATGCAACATTTTTATCCAGGCCAGAATCTTCTGGCTGAATATGTTGAATGCTTGTTCCTACATTATTGTGTAAGTGTTCAAATCTAGATTTGAAGGGATCATTTGATTTTGAATGCAGAGCTGGGAATTCCACTTGACAGCTTTCAGATATCCCAAGGGGAGGGTAATGGGAGTAAAGGAGTGGCAAAACTGAACCTTCCAATTCTTTCATTGAAGCATGACTTTCTGTGTGACTATGGTGAGTTTGATGGCTTGGTGTGCTAATTCCTGAGATGAGTATGTTAAATTTTTGCATACATTGATGAACACATATTTTAGCTTCTGCAATGTTTAATTCTAGGTTGAAAAGGAATTTTCCCCATTTTAACTGAGAACAAATCTTTAGGTTTCTCACCTTGCATGGCAGATGACCCAGAAATGCCTTCAACATTGAGTGGATAGTTTTCCACAGGTACTAGTTTTCCCCAGTCATCTGCAACAACCATTGAATTTGTTTCCTTTGAATCCATTTTTTCTGTGTGTTGAATCAGTAGAGCTTCTGGCTCAACTAATGAAGGACAGAAATAACTATGAGTAGACACATACTTAATCCTGAAGGTATGAATGGGACATACCTTGTTCAATTGGAACAGTTGGTGAGTGGCTATTCTGGAGTGTATGCTCATCCTGAATTAGCCCCATCAGACCTTTTCTACCATTCAAGACATCTTCAAATTCCGTGATAGCCTCTGAAATCTGTCCTTTGTTATAATTATTAGACAAAGGATTAATCTCATGAATATCTTGTGGAAGGCCTGGTTGAGCAAATTCCTCAGGATTTTTGTGTATATGAGATTTGTATTTGTCATACTGCCAACTGGAAGATCCCAAAATTATGTTGAGATTGGGATGAAAAATGTCTTCTAGGACTATGCTTTTCCAGTCCTCTGACATCAAATCAGGTTCAATTTCCTTCCTGGCCTTCTTCTCTTGGTTTTGAATGGGCTGTGTTTCAAGATTCCCTGAGAAACAGAGAAGACAAATGATATGAGCAGGTTTTGATTCATTTTAATTTTGCTGGGTTTTACATTGTACTCACCTTGTCCAATTGGAATGGTCCATGAATGTTGTTGCTGGATGCAAGGATAGTCTTCTAGTGGCCGCTTTTTGGTGCTTTCACCTTGCAAGGGAGCTTGAAACTCAGATACAAGATCCAAAGGGTCTACCTGGTGACATGGTGAATTATCAAAAAAGGGCTGGATTTCTTGTGATAGACCTGGTCGAGCCACTACCTCAAAATTTGGGTTATAACAAACCACACCCAAGGCAAGAAAACACTTAATCACAGATGTATTCCTTTTCAGCAAGCACCAAAGATAATTGTGGTCCATTTCTTCCCAGGATGAGTTTGGTATACCAGTTTCTTCAAAGAGAAATTATATTTGAAGGGCAAACCTAAAATTTGATATGCACATGTACTCACTGCAAGAAAAAGTCAGGCAACTGTACTGAAAGAAAAAGTCAGGCAACTGTGTAAAATTGACATGTGATAACACAAATGCGCTCTTGCAAGATAACATGTCAACTGTACACATTTGCCTGAATTTGTCTTGCAGTGACTGTTACTTTTATTACTAAATGTGTTACATCAAATCACTCAATTGCAACAATTTCTTATTGCTGAGGTGTTTCACTAACCTGGCAAATTTTTCATACACACTACAAAACAAACAACTTGACAATTTTTGTTTCATTTCAGAGGCATTTGAAGCACAGTTCATCCATCATGAACCAAGTTTTCAATTTTTTCAAGATGACACTTGCCATTTTTGATGATTCAAAAATATTTGTAACAGCCATGACATTGATCAGTGGTTTTGGTTACATGTCAAGTATCACTGTTCATCTGTGATTCTCAACAAAGTTTTACAGACACAAAAAAATCAATTTGTACAATTTTTTACATTAAATGTCACTGACAAAAAGAACAGACAAAAGTATATCTTGTGAGGAATTTTCACAGAAGAATTTTAGATGTTAACTGGAGATATTTTTTTTTTAAATTTTTTGAGCTCCATCCACAAGAGCATTTTTTTTCTAAATTGCAGGATTTGTTGATTTTTATTTAAGTATATTTCAGGTTTTATATATGTTTCTCCTTTCAAGATTAACCAAAACCTCAATTTTAATCTCTCAAATATGATCATTTTGCTAACATGCTTATAGGCTAGTATACTTCTAAAAAATCCAGTGTTTCATGTAGCGTATAAGAGGTGTTGGGAGATTTTGATTTTCAGTGGTGGGGGTTGCTATTCAAACTGATCATGATTGGGTTTAGGTCTAACCAAAGGTGAAGGTGGCAGCTTACTGGGCTGTGGAGGGGTGGAGGTCAGCGGCGCAGCCGCCTTGGCCTCTAGTGCAAAGAATTAATTGAAAAAATGAGTGGAAAAAAATGATTAATAATTAAAAGTCATTTTTATGCAAAATTGATTTTACCATTAAATTCTACACATTTTATAACCTAGGAAACAGATTTAAAATTTCAAAAAAAAAATTAAAAAAACCTGGTTTTTCTGCGTTTGCACCCGGTTTTAGCTGCACGCAGCACACCCGGATTCCACATTTACACCCGGTTTTTGAATTAATTTTTTTCCACTTACTTTTTTTTTTTTTTTTTGAATTTTTAAAATCTTTTCCTGCATTATTATATGTATGGAAGTTACATGTCAGAGTCTAAAATTTTACAATTCTTCAAGGGCTATTTCAATCTATTTACAACTGTTGGAAAATATTTTGCATGTCCACTGCTACAAAAAGGGGGAAGGATGATACAATTTCAAAACAACAAAACTTTGGACTGGTAAAAACTCAAATGAGCATGCTACAAAATTGTGGACAACTTGGAAAGCTAAAATGAGTCATTATTTTTCACAGACGGCCCCAAATCTGAAAGTTGACTCTCCCATTTCTACCCTGAGCTCCTTCAGTCACAATGTAGCCCCCCTGTAAAACCAGTCTGAGGTCAATACAATACGCTTCAACAGGATAAGTTACAGCTGAAAATACTATAGGCATCACTCACCAATGTGTTGCATTCTTGCATCACCTTTTTAAAGAAACTGTCAATATCTGACTTCAACCTAATGAGAGATGTTGAGTAAGTGCCAAACAGTCAAAATTAGTCCAGCTTAATTATGAGCTTACGCCATAACCTTTGATCCATCAGATGTCCATACGCTGGCCTGATGTATCACATTTTTTTATAGTATTGATTAGTACAAGGCCCTCTGAGAGCTGAAGATAATTGGCCGTGGGGCTAAGGATTATTTTGACTCACAACACATTTTTTGTAAAATGAGCTGATTGAATTCATGGGTACATGGTGGTCAACTGACACAAAGCGCCCCTCAGCTTTGGTAGGGAGCAATCGGTAGGCCCTGTGTACATATCATTCAAATCAATAAATAACCAATCATTAGTGGGCCATCAGCATCCAAGAAGGCAGTACCCTTCACAGGTGAAAACAGACATACAGTTGCGCGCAGCATTGTACTGTACAGGATTTTGGGATGTCCGAATGGTCGGGACCCAAAATTTGGAAAAAAATGATTTTTTTTTGTTAAGTTCTGGGGTGTTGAGACGTCAATCTGACATCCACGCTGTGGTCATTATTCCTGTGTATGAAGGGAGAAAAATTCAAAAATTTATTATTTATCAATGAAGGACTCAAGATATGGACAAATGGACGTCAGAAATGGAATCTACGGCCAATTTAACCCCTAGTCACTCACTGGAACCACCCTCATATCTCTACTGGATCAGAAGTTACGCAGAATCAGGGATGTCACACGGAGAATCACAGGATCAGAGGCACTCAGCTGGAGGGTATATTGCATGGGGGTATATTGCATATTGCATATTTAATTCATTTATTCCATTATGAATTCCTTTTATTCTTACAGAACCACAAGTTGGCCACCAGTTGTACCAGTTAAATTCCCATTTATTCAGCCACAGAACACATGAATTCCTTTCTTACAGCTTACATATAAAAGGGATGCATTGTAGATAGTCTAGCCAAAATACCTCAGGATTTACAAGGATAGGGCAGCTAAAATGCCTCACTTAGGGGGTCCCTTGGGGCTAAAATCCCTCATATTTTACTATATAAGGAGGCCTCTGCCTGCCAGTTGTTTCCTCCTCATCCCACTCAGTACACATTTTTGGTGGGACACCTGTCACAGATTACATATATTTATTACACAAGAAGTTCACGAGTAGTACAGTTCACAGATTGAAATATATACACAGTTCATTTCACAAACATTACACAGAAGAGCCAGTCCTTTGTTCCAGTCCTGGTTGAAGCATAGTGCTCCCAGACCCTTTGGGTTCAAGAACCACCTCTATTACATTATACATATACAGCATCAAGGAAGAGCACGAGTATCAAGACATCAAGACGAGAAACAACATCAACAACTCAATCAATTCTTTGGACAACAAGATCAACCTTCAACAATTATACAACCATCTTTGAACATAATCCATTATCACCAACCAAACTGCCAAGCTTACCTTGGTGGTCTTGTTTTCTGATAATATAGAAAGGCAGAGTTTGCAGCTCATTTCATCCCTTTCTCCATTCAGCAAAAAGGATCTTACAATCACTTTTTGAGTCTTACAACGCTGCTGTAATCGAGCCAGCTGATGCACTTTTGAGCATATACATTGGCTTTAAGCTTATTGGGCTTAGGCTGACATATAACCGATACAGGTATGGGTTTATGGTGTCAGCCTATTGCATATTTATGTA